ATCGGTAGCACTAGGAATAGCTTATTTATTAGTCTCAGTAGATATATTTTAGAAGTAAATGTATAATGAGCGATTAAATNTGAGATAGCAGTAACATTTTGATTAATTATTACTGTATCTCATCCTTGTAGCCGCTACCAAAATCGCGACGATGCGCTCGACCGAGACAGTAGAAGGTAACTTTATAAAGACATTGTTAAAAGTTTTAATACCGTTAGTTAATATACTGTAGCATGATCTAATTATAATTTACGTCCGTTAGACGCCGATCGAGATCCAGAAGTTCCGGTGAATTCCGTACTTATCACAGTTCCAGGGATAAAAAACACTCTTCTCATAATAAGGACAAACAACGATCTCGTAAAAGAACTAGATCCAGATCTAGAAGCTATGACAGACATAGACATTATTAAGATCACTTGAGATACGAAAATCGTAAGTTATCTACGGAATGATTTGTTGTTGTTGTCGATCTGTAGAGCTACTATGTTTATAATACCTTCATACCCTTTTTCAGAATAGCATATTTAAAATACCCGATGGCGTACCTTAGCTTCAGTTTATTGAAACTTTCTACCATTTTATTTGTAAAATTTACTGGTACAACACAGGCAACTATGCATTTTTACTTTTATATACTAATTTATTTGTAACAAATTTTAGCATATTATGCTGAAAGTGTCCAAAATATCGATAGTAAGTAAATTAGCATACTACGAAGCAATATCACTACTATACGATATTTGTAAGGTATCCTGTATTCTATGCAAATAAAAATTAATGAATTTACTTTGATATATAAGCTTACGTTATTATTTTAAACTACTGAAGGTTACTCACCGATATTAGCTACCGCGAATGCCATAGTAGTTCTAAGTGCAAAGCAGATGAAGTACTTTATTAGTGTCATCGTAGCCGAATCGTTCTAAAGAATGGGCTCGCTTTGTACGAACGCGTACATGAGAATTAAACGATCTTTACACGCTATACTTTATTCGATCAAATTTGTGATTACAGTACGCGATATTTTAATCGATCTTCGGTCGATTACCTTCTTATTAAGTACTGTTATGATTTAAGATTAGCATGACTTCATATAAATGTCGTTAATAATACTGCGTGCATAAAGTAACAACCAGGTGAACTCACATAGCATTCATAAGTCATACATTTTAAGAAATCTATTTCATTCGATGATGAGCAATACTGTACTATATATTACCTTAATTATGTCGTTTGTTAGATCTGTTGGGTAACTCTTAGGGTTTTATTGCTATTGATCGTGAAATCCTGAACTTACTACTCCAATATACTGTATATACGCGTACGTACGGTACAATATATGAAGCTGCATAGAAGTTAGACGAACCTAACTTATGTAATAAAGTGAAGTTTACAAGAAACTGTGGTTCTTGATTTATTGCTTGAAGATCACTTTATCACAGAAGCAGATAAGTTGAAGAAAGGAGACCGCTGGTACGTCCTGACGGATTTACGTAATTTTAATTAATAATTTGCAATAAAATAAATTGTCATGACTTTTTAACACGCATGTTGCAATCCTTGGTGTAACACTTGATTAAAATTTATCGTTAAATCGATTCTTCTGGAAAGCGTTACAGCAATAGTGTAAGACAGATACTGAGGAAAATGAATATTGGAAAAATAATCTACAAATCATAATCATGCCCTTAGTTTTCTCCGGTTTGCAAAAGTTTAGTGTTAAGTCTATATGCTATAATAGGTGGCTCACTACCCAGAGCTTCAATCAGTAAGTAATACTTTGGTAACATACTTTATATGTGATAAAATGATCAGATGCAGTATAAATAAACATCTTAAGTTGCTAATAGTGAATTTAGTTATAATATTATTAGCATCATAATATCGATACTTTGATTATTTATCGCATGATTGTTTGTGTTTTCTCTGATATTCGAGTTCGTTATCCTTCAGTACGTAGTCCGCATTACTGACAGCAAGCTAAAAGTAGATCCAGATGTAAAATATTACATTTTTTAGTAGGTAAACTAGCGAGAATTAATAGCATTTTAAAGGACTTCTTGTAACAGGTTGAGTAATTAGATATCATTACAGTACTGATACATGATACTACTGCAATTATCAGCTACGAAGGATACGATAGGAGAATGCACATTTGTAGTATCATGTGCGGGTGAAGGCAAAATCTTACCATATCTAATAAAACGTTAATTTTGTATTTCAGTAAATTGTTTTCTTCGGCTAGCTGAATGTTATGCTTTTTTATTCTCGTAATTTCTTTCAATGTATTTCCGGAACTTCCCCCTACCTCTACAAAAATAATAATATACGTGTATATACGCATATATATATACCCGTATATTAGTCATGCACTTAATCGTTTCACTTTTTTAAAATTGATACAGTTAAAACATCTTTAATAAAACAACTTAACAGTTTTCTAATGTATAAAATTACTTTGGTAAGAGTCTTCAAGTCTTTCCTACAAGTCATGTACGAAGTGTACTAGTGGATACAGAACTACTGTAAGAATGATTCTATTTACTTTTATGATAATATCATGATCTTAATATCTGCTAGGTAATTTACTAACAGTAGGAAATCAAACAATAATTTCTCTTTAAGTAATTTATGAGAAACTGATGCGGGAGATTTCTAGTGAAGCGCATAAGATATCAAATTTAATACGACGTCTTTCTAACGCATTAGTAGTACCGCGTTTAAAATAACTATCATTACACTAATAATAACCCTATTCTAAATACTAAAAGCTAATATGCTGAATAATTACTTTTAAGATTTCAACCTACTGCAATTACTTCTTTGCAATCTTGCACAAACCTGATGTCCACAAACCGTCCTCATAACACAAGACGTTGTGGCCTAATTTCACTTTTATTGCGCCATTTTCTAAGCTAACAGGGTCTAAGTTATTAGGCTGGGGAGTGGCTACGTTCTGTTGTCCTTGTCGAGGCTTTTTTTGAGATATTAAGCCACCAAGTCCATTCCTGCTGAACAGGGGCATATCGCGAAAGGAATCTCCTCAGATAAACTCAAAATTACTTATGAATCATATACTGTACTGTACAGTATTATAATATTATAATATTTATAATTATACACTTTGTACTTTATTGTACTGTACAGTACAGTACAGTACAGTACAGTACACCGTAAAACTAAATGCAATACTGTACGATAACGTAAGCTGCGCAGTACTCCACACTATACAGTACCGCATTATCGAAAGACATGCATGCGGTGCAGGTGTGGAAACCAACCGCAAGAATTCATAGTTATTTCGAAGATTCTTGCACTGTAGGTAAACCATAGGTTTCTTCCTCCTGTTTGAACATAGTACTAGACAATGAAATCGATAATTTGCGACGACGGTTTCCGTTTGTACTACTAATTGTACTGTAGAAGCCTGTGCATTAGGCCCGTCCCTATTACTGTACTGTACATCAAGGGCTGTAATTCAGTAATTGTATACTGTACGCCCTACTGTACAACTATATACTGTACAGTACTGCACTTTTTTATTTCATTTTGTCGTAAGATATAGCATTGCCATGACAACGGAAAATATACAATGTATTATAATATGACGCCAATCACTAATGTACAATACAGTACAGCAGTGTTTTTGCTATAAATCTGGTCCGGCTACTGTACAGCTTCAAGCTAAACACTTTTATGTTGTTATTCTCACTCATTAGTACACGTAAATGATAAATTGCATGATAAAGTTTTATATTTATTTATCGAACTTATAAAATTTGTACCAGGAACGATTGCATATGCGATAATGAAACAAATTAATCAATTTAGATCTGAAAATTAAATATATTCACATTCAAGATATGCCTCCTAAGAAAAGAAGAACGAAAAAGAAGGATGTCAAAAAAGGGCATGCTAAGAAGACACTTAAAAAGTTGATAGGAATCGACAATGAAACGTTCACGGAACTATCAAAAGAGTACTTCCTAATTCAAGTACGGGATCTTGAAGCACGCTTAATGCGATATCAAAATAAGTGCGATGAGCTTGAAATTTCTAACAAGAAGTACGAAAGTGAAAGAGAGCAGTTACACCATGAAAATTCAGAGATAACGGCGTTTTTACGCCGACAACTCGATCACAAGGTAGAAGAAATCGCAGACCTTCAGGATAGACTTTTAGGTTTACAGCAAACAAGAGAAGCAGAGAAAGAGACATACGAAACTCAGATTACAGCTCTCAGACAAGAAATTGTCGAAACAAAGGAACAACTAACTTCAGAAAATATGATTTTGAGCGGAAAGTTGGCTTCGCTAGAGGAATTTAAGCAGCAAAAAGAAGAACTATTAGAGAAGTTTGCAGAAATGGAGATTAAGCTACAACAACAACAAGTTGAGCACAAGGATGCAATATATAACTTAGAAAAAAAAGCAGTTGTGGATAAAGACAGGTAAAAGATATATTACCCAATATGATACTAGTGATATAATATTTGATAAACTGAATAACCTTGTTAGACAATTACTGAGTTTGATATTTAAATTTCTATCATACGAAATTAGACTCAAGAGAGAAATGGTTCAACGAGTAAATACTGTTGCAGCCGAATTTCGCAAAGTCTCCAACAAACAGATGGCGGATACTACTAAGAGGACTATTCGAGAAAATGTATCTATTAATGCTCAGCTTGGAAAAATGTCTGATAAAACTATGGAATTAATCCAGGAAAATGATATGTTGCGAATTAAAGAGAAAAAGCATCATCAACAAATTGAGCTCTTGGAAGGAAACGAAAAGGAATTAGCGAGAAAGAATATTAGTAATCAAAAGGTTATTTATATAGTTACCTTATTAGGTATTTCTATGTTTTCGAGAGCTAATATCGCTATGGATAGGAGGATCCAAAAATTTTGACTAATTCACACTTAGAAATTAAGATTTTAACTCGCCTATCCATCAGTATAATTCTAGTCATTGATAGCTATCAACTCAATTACCGATCTAGGTCATTCGCATGTTGGCTGAGAAAGCAAAAAGTCAAGATGTACTTATAGCAGAATATGAAGCGAGAGAACAAACATTTGAAGAGCAAGGAAAAAAAATTAATGACTTACAGAAAGCCTTACAGGAGTACCAGGCAAAATTCGATGTAAGGGATTTGATTGTAAATTGTGAATATCGCATACCTTATAAGGATTAATTTATGATTAAAAGGGCGTAGTAAAAGATCAGCGTTTGCAGCGCCAGCATTTTCGTATATTCTAAGACAAATATTAACAATGGAGAATTTTTACTAGAAAATCTATCTTATTATTGCTTCTAGGAGAATCATCATGAAGCTGTAGAAGCTGAAAGAAATAGTAGCCAAATGCGAAAAACTATTGAGGATCTCAAAAGAGATAAACAAAGACTAATCAACATAATCAATGAAGCTACAAAATCCCTTAAGTCATCATTATCTGTACGACAGCTAATAATTAGCTTTATTGTTGTATCTAGCTTATTCAAAAAGTATATGATACTATTATTAAAACCTTTAATTGTTGCATGCGATAGGGAAGCCTACTAAACAGTGTAGATATGAAGACGGAGAAGCAGACTTCTTCTCATCCATGGATAAACGATAATAGTCTTGTAGGGATTTTACTGAGATTATTAAATCACGCTGCTGAAGAAGGGGTTGGTTTACATCCGATAGAATTAGGTTCTACGACTGATTTTAATATTAGCAATCAATATGCCAATATTCCTTCAAGCGAGGACAGGTAACTTAAGGGAATTTAAATATTTGCGACTGCATATGACTTACCATATTTACAAGATTAAAGATACAGAGCTTGTGCTGGTATCCTATTCACACCTACTTTCTAATTTTATCTTGTGTTATTATTAACAATTGATATTTTAGAAATATATTTGCCCTACCCTCGCCGGAAAAGAAAATTAAAAGTACTAACCATTATCGAACTGGGGACTTGGGAATCGTGCCGCGCCCCAAATACAAGGCAAACATTAATGCCGAGGTCGCTAAGATAATTTTTAATCGCGAAAAGTACTCACATGCACTGGAAAATGTAAGTTCTAAATTGGTATTGAGGAACGTACGGAGGCTATATTCAGTGATATTTCATTAGGGAAAAATTTGAAATAAGTCTTTTACATGCCATATTTAAACGTATTTTATAATATTTCTGTAGGATATGCTATAACTAAGATGAACTTTCACTGATACATTTAATTACAGCATCTAATATTGATATGATGTGATACTCAGTATTATACCGTATAAAATTAAACATCCTTGAGTGGTAGCGTGTAGTAAATATTGTATGTTAATGAGTGGATGCTACGTGATAATGGTAGATGTGATATTTCGTTGTAGAGTATTTGAAGAATTTTAAGAGTATTGCTGTAATTCTAATTTAAACATTTTCAGGTGGCACATGACAGTAAACTACCGAAAATTAATAAATCTCCGAAGACCGCTCTTCAAATAAACTATTCGAGAACATAGTCCATGTTAGTTATATAGTGAAAATATTTTAGTACTTTATCATGAGTGTACGTATGAAATAATCTCGAAGAGATAATCGCACAGTAAAATTACTACAGAGTGGTATGAAAGTTATTCGCGGCAAAATATCTTGTGTATTTTCTAAGAAATTTGGCTAGAATCAGCAGTCTATTGCTGGCTCTACATAGTATGCCAAACACTTGCGCAATGAGTATTTTCGTACGATACATTCTGTGGCTTGTACTGTTGGAACTTCTGAAGTGGCGTAAAGCAGTGGATTCCTAAGAATTGATTAATGGTACTAATTAGTAAATTAATAAGACAACTTGGCACGATATGATTTACTCTTGAGATAAAGCTAAGTGCTTTTATTTAATAAAACTGAATATGTATTTAAGGATCTACGACATTTCTGTTCTAAAATTTACTAACATACAATGGATAATAATGTGATACGATAAGTACATGAACTCCTTTAATATTTGTGATTAGTTTCGTGTCAATGTACAGTATGAGAAGATATTAAAGTTTATGATGTAATTGTATACGATAACTCATTTCAATATCAAATTATATCATATCGATCTAAATATTATTTTTTACCACAAACGAAATAAAGTAGCTATCAAGTAATAACATCATCAGTGTCGTCTTCCGAAATTATAGCAAGTAATATTTATGCACTCTGTGCTCATTTATTGTAGCCATGCAGTAGTGTAAGTATCTTGTTACTCAATCAGTGTATAGTACTGCAGCACAGAGGTTTAACGTAAGCCGGATGGGCAAGTAAACGGCTTTTGAATACAGGAATCATTTTATAATCTAACAACGTAGGCTTAATGCTGAACTTGAAACAATTAAATTAATTTTATGCTGTAGTGCTGTACATAAGTATATCTGATCAAAGTTAATACATTCGTAATTAGTACACGGAACAATGATTTATTATGTAGTAAGAGAAAATAAATCAGTAAGAATACTGCTGTATACTCAATATTTAATATATTAAAACAGTTCGTCACTATTTTTATTTCCGCTTAAGAGCGTCTAAAAATTGACAGTAACTAGCAGCTTCAATGAGGACGCCGCTAAAGCATTAACAGATATCCAATATTTTTCCGTTGTATCATACTTGATTACTATACGATTTACTAATAATGTTATTAGGCCACAACCTTTCGATACAGTAACAAGAATATCGGCACCTGATTAAACGATATACATTGATTTTGACTACCGTCGAAAATATATTTCTTGAGGTATTCTCTCCAAGACTTAGCATTATAATCTTATTCAAAGCAAGGTTAAATTTCAGCTTCTATTTCAATACTATGTAGTCGATCACTGAACACAACATAGGTCATCGTCTTCTTCATCAAAAATTTCTAAATTCTTGGTTGCTTGCTCAAGTTCATTGTCTTCTGCTTCAGCTCTATAATAATAAGTCGGTAAAAGTAAAATTTTTAACGTTTAATAGGTTAAAATAACTCTTTAGTACTCACTCATAACAGAAATGCTATATTACTTACCTACGCCGATATTTCTCCATTTGTGTTACAATTCTATCTCTCTCATTTACAAGCTTAAACTTTTCCTTAGCCAAATGTTGTATTCGTTGTGTTTGTTTATCAGACTTATTAAAATCTATGCAAAAGGAGCAGCACGAATGACATTGGACATGCGCGTATAGCACAGTAATATTGAAAAACAAAACCGAGAAAGCTGCATACCAGAAATTAAAGATAAATCGTATAGCTCACGATCTATAAGGCTCGATTCATATTCGAGATCATTTTCTTTAGACCTGAATAGAAAATATTAACGCCATTGTTATTGGAGTGTGTAACGACCGATTGCTGACTACGGACCTTAACTCACCGCAAACTTAGTTCATTCTGTTCCCTAGTTATTTCGTTTCTTTGCCGTAATAAGGCGATTTTCTGTCTTAATAACTGCTTATTTCTGCTTGGATCATCTGCGTTATATGGTTAATTAAGAGTAGCGGATAAAATCTTGAAACTTTAATCATACTTACAATACATTCGCAACGTAGAAGACTGAACTTACGTGAACTATTAATAGCAATTCTCAGTTCTTTTTCTATTTTATTTATATCTGCAAATGTAACTGCATCTCGCTCTGCGAGTAATTGAAGGCTATTCTGTATGTCTTCCTTACGAGTCTAATTGTAGAAGACTAAAGTGTTATCTCTACTCGTTTTCATTCTCATAACGATCATACGATAGATACATCGAAAAATAATACGTACAATAAAGTCTTGGTGATTAACACCATAATCTATTTCACTTTGATAACCAGCGCTGGCGCCAGCCTAAATTTTGGTTAAATCTTAACAATTAATAATGATGATTTAAGAGCATCTACCATAAAGTATAAATTATTCGCTTTTCTTAAGAACCTGACTGTTAAAGTTCCAGCTGCTAGTTTCTATACTTTCAGGCCTCTTTATAGATGCACTGCCTTCAAATAATACCAGCTTCCTCCTCTGCGAATAATTGGCTATCGAACGTGCTGTTCCTGATGTATTCAATTCGTATGATTTTGACTGCGAAGAATTAAAGACATATGCATTGGGCCGTCATTTAAATTATCTGTATAACCGATCTATAATTCATTAATTATATCCTCAACACATCATTTAGTTAAAATAGAATTACGCGAATGTATTAAATTAGTTCACATTAATCATCGATATCCGTATCAATTAATAATTATTAAAATATAATATTACAGTTTCTTACAACTCGTAACAACCCAAACTCAGAAAGGTGATTGATACTACGATTTGTAACTGCAGTACTGTTTACTTTTTTCGTAAACGTCATGGTTTCTACTGTTTTAGTATCGTTGCAAGTACTATCTACTGTCATCAGAACTTGTGGAGGTTGTGAGTAAGTTAAAGAAGAATAAAACCAGTAGATTACCTTATTCTACGATGTGAGTCTTATCTAGTACCCGTATATACGCGTACTTATGATCTGTGCTCAAAAGTGTGAGTAAAATGTTTTCAAAAATAATCCCATCTGCTATTTAGCAAGTTTTTTCAAAATTATAGCCATTTTAGGTTAAAGCTTTACATAGGTTTCAAAAATTGATCACACAGGAATGAGAAAAGTAGCTTTACCTGTAACTGATTAGTAAAGATTTTTGACACAGTTTCCTGTCGAGAAGGTAGAATGGGCAGCAACCGACGATTTCTCTAGCGAAACAAATATATAGTACGTGTTACCATACTATGTAGAAACTGTAGCCGAAGAACAAGATACGATATATTAAATCGCGATTTATATCGTCCAAGAGACCTGAATGGAGCTATCCATAGTATGACGGCGCTTCGAATAATTTTCCAGACAATCCTCTTTTAGTGGATGTAAAGTATCAGAATAGTGTAATCGTTTCACGTCTTGATCATCTAAAAAGTTAACGACTATTTTAGCTGTTACCGTCTTAGCTATAAAATGTGTATAATTAACAAAGCCACATTTATACTTCGTTATAACCTATAGAATTAGCTGTTGCCCAGCCTTTTTCATGAATGCAACATGGTAAACTGTTCTGGCGATCTAAAAACGAAAATATGATATATTATTTCTGAAATAGTGATATAGCGTATTCCTCTCACCGTGCCAAGAAATAGTTTCACAGTCTCCTTTAGATTTCCTTCGTTTAGTTTCTAGGTACTGCGGTTCATCTTCAATGGTACATCGTAATTGTCTTTTTAATAGAAAAAGATACTCCATGAGCTTGATTTTATCTAATCTGTCTTCATTGGCAACATCAGATGAGTCTAATAGTTTTGGTACACCAAGTGTTTTGGCTGCATCGAACGCCTACAGAAAAAGTCTTTTAGCATGTTGAGTAATTAAAAATAAATTTTAGGATAACGAAGTTGATATACTTACGATGTGGCAGTTCCTTTCACAGTTGTCATCACTTAAGGTGTCATAAGGTCTACGTTATTAAAGTTAAGACAACGTCTTATGGTAAAACTTCATATCGAGTATAATAATAAAATTGTTAACTTAAAATCGTTAGTAATTAGCACCATACATCAATTCTGGGTAGTAGTAGTGAATGATAGCACAAAATGCTAGCCCATTCTTCCAAGAAGACGACATGTTAACTATTTCAACGTTCTCGTAGTCTTTAGTACATTCCTGACACCAATCTAGCGCAAAAGGATAAATAAGTTGGTTTTCGTTACATCAGTTCACTTTATTGGCTACATACCAAGTAAGTCTTGCTTCTGAGAAGGCTGCAATTGAAGAACAAGCTTAGTTGATTGTAATATCAAAGCCTCAAAATACAATACACGAGTAACTAAGCATTCAAAGCACCTTTGCGATAACAAAATTTTATTAAAGACTTTATTAATCCGAAATGGCTATTTTAATATACGCTGAGAGTCTTAGTGCAAAGGAAGAAAAAACTGATGACTCGAGAAAATACTCTACTTATATATACTGTAGATATAGAACTTCGTCGGTCAACCCACAGACATCTACAAATTCTTAATAAGTAAGGAAAAGGCGGCTGATGTCATTATGTATCGTCATCTATCATCACTTCTACAGATTACCTTATTATGTATGTCCTTATAGTCATCAAGACAGATAAGGCATACTGACTAACACGGGATTTTCTGCATTAACGTTAGCAAATAATTATTTCATAACAGTCAAAGTCATTAACCGATATATTACAACCTTAACATCATTTTCTAATTCTTTAGAGGCCAGTAACCTGTCATTACTGCTGGAATTGCTATTCCTGTAATATGGACGATGGCGTATTCCACCACCCGATACACATTCATTATAACAGATTATAAATCTGATTTGCAAACAATTATACCGAAGACGTCAAAATCCACTCACAGTTCTTCGATTTTAGTATGTTGTTTCAAGATATCAGATTGATTTCTCTTAGTCGTTTCGCAAAAGCCACTAACCTGGAATTTTAACAACATACCATACTATACAATTTTTTATTGGTAATAACTGTAATAAATTAAAGTTGACGAACGCAGAATAATTATTCGTAAGTCTTAGAGTTATGCAGCATTTCATCGCTGCCACGCTATTACCATTTCGCTTGATTTACGAGATAATGAACTACTTTCCGACTCCTCTACTATAGCTATATATGAAGATACAAATAATATTATTCTGTAGTAACATTATTTAATTGTACGAGATAGATATTTTATGGCTTAATTTATGTCACTTGCAGCAAATTATGATTGCTACTGCTACATAAATTGTTGAATACTGCATTCCATACTTACGTGTGATATCGCCCCCTGATATAGAATATCTTAACGTAGGAGAGCTATGAGACTTGATACGATCATTGTGTGAGTAATTATCCGTCCTTAAATATAAGTACAAATAAATTAGAGCAAAGGCGTAGAAGGAGCAAGTTCGTATCGCTTACAAATAGAGGCCTAAAAGATATACTGAACGTACCAGCATCACTGCTAGATAATGCATTTAAATAATTGCTAAAACTTACAGTTCTACATGGCGTTGAACATTTGATTCATCTGAAGAACGCTTGGATACTTGAGCTACGGATTTACTATATTCATCATCAACTAGCATATTTTCAGCTTGTAAGTCAGTCAAGCTTGCAACACTGCTTGAACGGCCTATATCAGATATACTTTTATATAGATGTAGAAAAATACCTAAGCTGGTAGAATATTACTGGAATTTTCAGATGAAACAGTATTGACTAGTTAAATTATAACTAGAGCTCAGTTTCATGACGGGTCAGAACCCCTATCAATCAATAAATATATTTACCTGCGCGTTCTCTCTCGCATTAATTCAGATGTAATAGTCAATTCCAAACGAGCAGCAATAATCTTTTTAGTAGTGGGCCTCATATTTAGCGTAAGATTGGAAGTCAGCGATATGGAATTGCAATGTCGTGCCATATTTAACAGTATGATAGCAACTTCCCTTCTTTTACCGGTAGTTGACTCCTAGGTTAGTAATTAAGCATAAGCAGCATCAACAATGACGTAAACATCTATAATGTAACTATCACCTAATAATCCCTTCAATACAGTGATAAAAGTAAGAGTCGCACTATTCGCTTTATTGTTATGCTTGCAGAACTGAATTGTCATGGATTACGTAATCGATGCGTATATTCGCAACTTCGTCTCTATCAAGAATATCCAATAAATCTTACATCTTCTAAAAGAATAGACCACTCTTTGTCTTCATAATCTTGCATGTAAGAATACTTGAATGCGGAATTTATTATTTAAATGACAAAATTTGATCGTATAAATATAATAGAAATACTTACGTTATCATAATATCAATTAATGTAATACTTACGATATTTCGCAAGAAATCTGAAGATTTATTGGTAAATACAGTAAATGCTAAAGTTAAATACTATAAGCGCGATGTGATCTGAGAGAAACTTATACAGTATAATCCAAATTCTATGACTTTACAGTGATGCAGTACCAATTTACTTATATTTAGAATTATTAAGACATGACAATGGTAGTATGATGTCGACTTGTAAGATATCCATAGATGAAAAACAACGGGAATTCGGAGGAAAAGTTTCTAGATTACCACTTGCGTCCATCGTGCAATGTAACGCCTTACCTTGTACAACGTTAATAGTATCTGTATAGTTTCTGGCTGGATCCAAACTATCGACCCTCGATACGGATTCTTTATACCAGGTTGCCAGGCGTGACTCTTTAACACCATTATCATTATATCAGGAAAGAAAGAAAGAAAAATTCTACATTAACAATCGTTTAAGCAAATTAAGAAACAGTCTTTGTCGATAGTATTTCATACTGTACAAGATATATACGCGTATATATATACAGTACATTATTAATAAACTATATACTTCGAAAAGCCCTTCCACTTACAAGTTAGCGCAACGAGCCAAAGATAACAATCAACCATGTACTATATACTGTATGTGCAATTTACAATTAAGAATTTTTGTTTACGGAATTCTTACCCTACTTTCGATTCGGCGCTTCTTCCTGATCCAAATGATGCGCAGTTTATTTGGCTGCCTTTACATTTTAAGGGGTCAATAAATATAGTTAATTAATGTTGACTTTATTTCATCTCAGGTACAAAATAAAATTTCAAACTGTCTATTTATTGAAAATATTACTCGACGTATACAATGCAGTTATGTAATATTAAATTTGAAATCTATGGTATACACGTACTGTAATACTGTACACTTGATAGTAACAAGTAAAATAAAAAGTGATTTAGTACTGTATCATTTGTTTGTATTTTTGTTGTAGTAATATCTATACATATATGTCTTGAGTATATACCCGTAACATATACGTTACATGTAGTATTGAACGAATATAAGCTATCAAAAGTCTCAGTAACGTTAATAAGAAATTACGCTTTATGATTGAACTGATACCGATCAGTAATAGAAGTTTTCATCATTGATTACTAAATTACATCTACTGTAGTAGCCCATAATTTTATGTAGATGTGTAGAGATAGTACGGCAGTCTAGCGATAATTGAGTTAGTTTGAACAATATAATCGGTCAGTTTAAACAATTTTCTACAAAATTTAAGAATTTGAATATTCAAATTATATCAGCGTATGCAGTACCCTAAGCATTAGCAATGGCATAACGAAATCGTATTTTCTATTATAAAGATTTGTATAAAACTATACGGAATGGCATCTTATAAAAACATTGCAATATTGTTCTATATGAAATTATGTAAACTGGCCGATCATAATAAATATATTTATATACTGAAAGTAGCCCATCAGCAATAATGCAGCACACTTATTTGTCGATTACAACAAAACAAGTCGAAGCGCATCTGCTTTGGTGGCAGCACACTAACAACACACTGCATGAATTCTCGTTTATCTAAAAATGACAGGTATGAACGAAGGTTTAATACGTATTTCATAAAATCTACATTTATCAGTCATGATCAATGAAATGATTTATTAGTAAAATTACTGTACTCGGTGTAAGTCAAATAGCGTGTAGAGTATCCGCGATTGAAGATAACTTTTAGGAGTGTATTTTCACGCTTCCCTAATCGCTTAACACCGTAGATGTGTAATAATGCCATGACATGCTGCAATCTGTCATAATACCAACTTAAGGTTACAGTAGTTTACTATTAATAACCGTAAATACTCTGCTCTGAATAAAAGTACGGTATAGCTAAAGAATAGCTGTGTCATAGCTCTGCATTTTACAGCAAATGTTTAACAGGTACTGTATATACTACAATTTATAGAGATACACCATGCACGAAATACAAATACCAAGGAAAACAATCTATAAAAGTTATAAATTTTAATAATTTTTCAGGCATATTATACGATTACGATTAATAATAGTACATTTTTAAATTATAGCAGCATAATTATTATTATAATAATGTCTAAACTAGTGCAGGGCCCCCGCGAACAATAATAATGTCTCGTAAATGAATTATTAGGGTATCATACCGTAAGTTTTCAATACTGAATATGTGTATGTAATTTAATTCATAGACTAGTCCTCGGTTGTCAAAATTATTATTGGTATAATTATTTCTCATCATCGATTAGTAAATTTATCAACTGAGCTATCAATTGTAATTCTTTATTATTATTAATTATAATTAATTATACAGTACAGCATTTCGTAATAACATATATCGAATCGGCAGCGAAACACGTTACGGAACTGTACTTTAGTTGCATGCGTTCTAACTTCAGATAATCCTGCGGATTGTCTCTTTCTTACTGTACTACCGCAGTGTACATTCTACAGTACTGTAATAACAGTGACGCGATCGCTTGACTATCCTATTGACGTTAATGCTAAAAGATACAGTGTTTAAGCACCAACGTACGTATAGTACTGTATAGTGTACACTGTAGAGTACTGTACTGTACAGTGTACTGTACAGTACCCTAAGGGTAAGACATACTGTACAGTTCAGTAAAATTCGTAGATGATGTACTGTATATTGTACAAGTTTATACGTATATGAAACTGCTAGACTCTGACAGCAATTTATCATAAAAGAAAGGTCATTTATTGCAAAAAATATTTTTGACAGTTCGAAGCCATGAAGTTAAGAAACCGAAATAATAATTGTCTTAGATTATTATTATTATTATTATTTACTGAAGCATAGGTACAAGTTATGTTGTAATGATACTGTACGGTACTGTATTTAGATAAACTGCTAATTTAGTTTACCATTTTTCACCACATTCGACGGATAAGGACACGAAATGGATAGTACATTTAAATTGCGAAGCTCTTTTGCCACCGTAAGCTTTAGATAATTTGTTCCAAAATTTGTTTTTACCCTTGATCATAGCGAAATCTTCGTGATCGTTAAGAATCGATAACGTAATGTAGCAATTTAATTGTTACTGGAGTTCTTTTAAATTCTAGTGAATAATAATAAAAATAATAAAAAAGAATAACAAGAAGTAATTCTTACTAAATACTGTACTGTAATGGGTACCGTATCTACTGTACAGTGTACAGTACTGTGTGGTCCGCGTACACTGTACAGTACAGTACTGTACAGTATGGTGCGCCCATGGAATTTAGGATATTTGATTTTTGATATACTGTACAGTGTACAGTAGAGTGACATTGATTAGAGAAGAATAAGGTCTTATTCTTTTTCTTTACTATGAGTACCTTGTACTTACTGTACTGTACAGTACTAATCATTTATGCATTTACAGTACTGTACTGTACGGTGTTAAATGAGCACATTATCGTAAACCGTCAGTAAAGCGACGGGAGTTTGCACTAGTGTAGACTGAAATCGAGCGATAGTGTACTGTACTGTACAGTGTACAGTACAGTAATTACTCGAGAAATCGATCGAATACCCAAAAGTATCCAAATGCAAAATGTCAAATTTACAGATCTACAGTACAGTACACTGTACAACATGCACTCTAGCTTTTTTCTTTTAGTTAACCCTAACCCTGTACACACAGTCTGTACTGTACTGTACTGTACAGTACAGGGCGCCTACAATTTCGGACTGGTATTAGACAATGTGACGATTTTTTGGCTTTTGGGTGAAATTTTGTTTGTTGGTGTCCCTGCAATTGCAGTACAGTACTGTATTGTCAGTATTCTTCTGGTGGTTCATGGTCGAGGGTAAATTTAAAATTCGGATCCGCCGGACCATCACTAAAAGTGCATACTACCGTAATCAGAAGTTCTCATTGAGAACCGTGCACATTGGGCCAATGATCGAGATTCGAGGTAATATCAGGGTCTCGATTTCACATGTGTGTTTACTGAGTACAGTATGATAGAGTAAGATAATTAAATAAAATAAAATAAAATAAAAAACAGACAAATATAGCAACTGATGTTGTTATCGTCATTCCTCGAGTGGGATGGGATATCTTTAATTAGACCTGTCAGAGGTTCGGTTCGAATCCGACTTTAATTAATGTTATCACTGAGCATTTGAAATCAGTTTTTAAATTTTTCTATGACTTATCCTCAGAACTTGTGCTAGAATGTAGGAAACCATATTGAGCAAGATGTGCATTCACAGCCTGTATTTATGGTTTGATTATTAGGTCACGAAATTTGGGTAGTTTACAGTAGGTACTCGGCTGTACTGTACTGTACGCACAGACGGTACAGTATACTGTACTGCGCACTGTGTGCAGTGTACTGTAGGTCCAGCCACATATTGATGTTGACAGCCCTGACACCTTGCGTAAATGGTTTAAAAACTCTTTTATCTAGTTTACTTACATGTATGTAACTGTACTTTCACTACTGCTACAGCACAGTCAGTATACGGTAACAGCGTTTGACGTAGCCACTGGCTGCTGTCTACGCTATTCGCGTACTGCACGTTCAATTTAAGAAACCCCCCTTTTTACTTCTTTTATTGATATTGTACTGTACATTTATTAATTATAGTATATATATATATATATATATATATATATATAAATCACCTAATGGCAAAACATGGCTTATCCTGGTGGAAGAATGCTGGAGCCGCGATATATTGACTTTGCAAATAAGATACTCATAAATAGTACAACTTTACTAACCAGAAATTATTTAAGAATAATTGATGCAGCGTAAGTAAGATCTAATCCCACACTACAAAAATGTAAAAATTGCAAAAACACTAGTTCAGTGGCTATACCTTTGTAGAACTAGCATTTCATTTCCACAATAGTAGTACATGCATTACTTAAAAGCAGTTTTCGTATGATCAAATACTCTTCTCAACTTGAATGGTGAAACTAAAGGATTTGGCTGTTAATTTACAATTAATATATAGTAAGTACTTATCATTCTACTTATAATCTTGTCATAGAACGGCACTATGCCGTTTAGGTAAAATACTATAATTAGAGGAGCATGCATATTGACGCTTGATACTGTACAGTACACGGTATAGCGTTGCTTGTCCTTTAAAGAGTACTTTGCAACGTCGCGGTACAGTATTACGACTGGTATATGCGCAAAAAAAAAATGCATGTATAGTCATAGTTTTGGGCCTGCAGAGTAGAATTAAGTAAGACTTGCTGTACTCTTGTGAAATTATAACCGCTGATACTTGGACTGTGTAGATGCTATCATGCTAGGCTGCAATAATAAACAAACTCAGGGACAGTTAGCAATTTTGAATAACGCAGCACCGTTCTACTGCACTGTGCCAGTAAAAGTGCAATGAGCCAACACTGTAACGGCTATTCTGTAAAGAAAATCATTTCCTGTTACGGTTAAAGTTAGGCATCTCAAAGGTTTGGCTCAATGGAATGTATAATCAATCAGTTCGAACCGAACCTTTGACAGGTCTATTTACTGCTTTACTGTACTGTACATTTAATAGAGTGAAATGCAAAACTTTTGTTATGTAGCAGCAGACGGACTTGTGACACTTTAATTAATTGCACCGTTAAAAACGCAGGAGAAGCGAATTATGTTTAGCTCTAAAGGCCACGATTAACAGGAAAGAGCTAATATCGGCGTTGAAGAAGTATCTCTCCATACATGGCAAGGATTTAACTGAGGTTCGATAATTATAATATTACTGTACTGTACAGTACATGAAAAGATAGCGTATCATTATTGATTAATTTTTAATCACTGTGAACTATGACATTAAAACTACTAATCTGAAGTGGTCAATTGTGTTAATCATCCTACAGATGGGCTACAATACATAATTAGTCATTGCATTATTTTCAGTTGCACATTGATATGGTTACATTATACTGTACAGATGACAAATCACTTTCTTTTTATATAGGAATGCATAAAGTTTTTATCTTCTATCAGGTTAGTTTACGTATTTAGACTAACGGCGTATTTATCCAATAGGTGCGGTATCTTTTGGTACCAAATATTGTTACATTATTTGTTTTAATGGTTCAAATGTTATAATAATCATAATTGAAGGGCATCAAACTGAATAATTTTGATGATATTTTTCTTAAAGATATAAATGGATCAGCTTTACAGATGGTTTGGAAGTAGATATAAATGGAATGCGGGTTGATAAACTGGCTATGACTATGGCGGTAGGCCTTCGTCTGATGCTTATCGCTGATCTTGTAAGAAATAAGAAAGTTTTATAATTCACAATGTTGTAGCACGAGGGCCAACAGTAGATATTTCCCCAAATATCGATTATATTCTTGTTGTGTATTTCAAATAAGAGATTACTCCGAGAGTATGATTGTAACTAGCACTTTATTGTTAATTACCGGTATTTATAGTCTACGTACTCTGCCTTATCATGTGATAAATTTCGTCTTATCACATGTTACAGGGGTGACAGCTAATAGCCTTAAAAATATTTAATAAGAATTATTCTATCGTAGCGATATCTAACAATTCTCAATTTACTATTCATTTTTGTATGTAACATTGGATACGTTCTATAAACATCAGATAAAATCTCAAGCGTGTGAGCATGAAATGAACGAAGTAGACGCTAAAGTATCAAACTAATTTAAGTGTTTTAGAATATCTTAGCTGATAATTTCTCAATGTAACACAATCTTAGAAGAACCACGCCGTGTATTTCACTGAATCTTTTACTTGGGTTTATACTTAGGAGATCTTGCAATGTTACCGAACTGCAGCCGGAATCTTCACATACGTTAATGATAATGTGACAGATGAGCGTCCCAATTTTTTAGACGGTATATTAGACAAATTTTGTGGGGAACATTGAATATAGCATTCTTAGATAAAAGTAAAATGAATCAATTCGTAAATTCATTAATCGCAGAGACAATACTGGAAAAGTTGCATATTCAAAGTATCGCGGAAGCGCAAGTATGTACGCATATAAAGTTACGCGTACTTACTTTAGCATGTAGCTATCGAAGTAAAAACAGTATATGCATTGTTTTGCGAAATCTTTATGGTAAATTAATTTCTATTATTTAATCATAATAATAAAAATCTGCAATTTATGTTTGTTAGATTATAACAGTAATAAGAGCTATTGTATCAAGTCGTGAAGTCCTCCAAATTAGTAAATTAAGTGAAGGTATCTATCGACACTGCTGGGCGGCTTCGAAGATAATAGTGAGTAAAGAGAAGAAACTAACGTAATCTACAGTAGTAGATAAAGATAAGTTATCCTGTTAGTTAAATGAGTAATTCTAGCATTTGAATTATATTTCAATTTATCAATTTTACACAAATATTAGCACAATCAGAATCTAGTACTGTATGTTACTGTATTGTCACACACGTAGATATCGGTTTCATCTGCTGACAAAGGATATCGTCCTTTTTACCCTAGCTCAATAGGCTACAATCTTTCATCAGCCGCTGCTGACTAGTTCCGGCTTTAGGCTAATAATAAGAAATCTACCGATTATACTAAATTGGGTCTGCCTAGATCACAACTGTATTAGTACAAATTACCATTATTATTTAGCAATGTTGTTATCTCCATAGTGATAAACTGATAGTACAGTATTGATTTTGTATATACGCGTACAGTATAATGCATACTGTACAAGTTCGATGCATCTTAGCTGGTACTACCGTACAGTTTATTATAAAACCGTCTTGAATTTTATCTCCCTGCCATGTAGTTGAAATCATATGATATGCACTATAGTGTCTTTCTAATAGAAGAAAATGATTCTCGCTACTGGTAAAAATATCGATAATATTCCTCGGTATACGTATTTCTGGTGAATATATCAAGGATTTCTGTTTCAGGACATGATATTTAGGAAAATACTTTTCCTAATTCTGTAGTTAGTTCTGCAAATTCTTTATGTCGATTGGTCTCTGCTGCAGTTACAAATACATTCTACAGCATTTCTAATGTTGCGTTAAGATAAATTCTTCATGAATACCGTAGCTCAATGTCAAGGGCACTTGTATTGTAGAGCGTTTTAACTTTATTAATTAGCTGATGGATCCCGTAGTGAATCGACTATGTCGAAGGTAGCTTGTAGTTAGTTATCTTGGTTTATGAGACACTGGTTGTATCTTATATGAGACGTTTTCTACCGTGTGCATTCGAGTGGCATTTCTTTTAATTGAGTTCATTAAAACTTTTGAACGCCTATGTTAAATCTGTTTCGATAGGGGAGTAAAGAATGGCAACTCTATCTTATGTATAAAGGTATTGTGCCGGTCATAATACTACTTATTATACGTATACGTACTGATTAATAAGAGTACATTGATCTATTGATATTTACGAAAACTCAGTTCGTAAATATCTATTTTCTGTTTATTATTCATTACCAGCGGAAGCATTTAAAGCGATATCAAGATACTATCAGGGCCTTTCGATCCTAGAAAGCAGCGATAAGTACAATAGTAAAATACTATACTGATTGATTATCGTCAAATAATGCTAGAGGCTTACTATTTTTATATTGCTACATTTTTTTCTGTATTAGATTTCCACAACAAGTGCATCAAGCCCTTACGGTTTTACAAAATAGTAAAAGTCACTATGCGCAGGCTGTTGAAATCTTGCAAGTAAGATGAAATGTTTTGGGTACAGACTAAAGGACATAACGCTAATCGTTGATCAAAGTGAGACTTTTAAAAAAGTTAGCTAAAAAAACTTACATTAATTATTTGTTGTAGGAGTTTACTGAAACAGTGAAGTGCTGTGACAAGGAATTATTGAAATTTATTGAGCTCAAACTGTAAATATGGGTCATTTTCGAGGCCTTTAATTCCTATTAGCAAATTGAAATAATAGGATTAAAGTTTTAAAGTTTTATTACGGAACTTTATGATCTTAGATTAGGTGAAAACTTACAAGATATCATAGCTCGTACCCAAAAGAAATGCTTATCGCGTCAAGTAGAAGCCACGACGGTAAGATTTATACATTTAATATACAAGACAGTATAAATAGCTAACGGTTGCACGTTAGGTTGCTCTTTATTCTGGGGTTCCTAACGGACATACAAAGTGGATAGATTTAGACAAGAGTTACGTAAGCAAGGAATATTTAATTCCCACTTCATTAAGCTTTGCCTTTACTTAAGTACACGGATGAAAGTCATGCATACTACCAAACAGGGTATTGTATCCGCACTGCACGTTTATCTTGTCACGACAGTAGTTTGCTCTTTTGTCCACTGTGTCTATACGCAATGTATGCCAATAATTAATTATAAATTTGTAATCGTAATTACGAGTTCTATTCGTAAGTTTACATAGAGTATGATGCTTTATAATTAAGTTTAACATCTCAAATTTACTCATCATTGTGTTACAGCATTAAATACAGTAAAGCTAAAATTAAGATATTAATGCGGGTCAAGGAATGCTAATACCCATAATGCCGTAGTGCCTAATTCATCAGCATTATGAAATACCACTACGTCACCCATGCATTAATATACTTTCATCTATTATAAATTGCGGCAAATTAAATTTTAGAAATTTCACAATGTGTCATTGATGTAAATACAATACAGTACATTTAAGCTTGAGAATTCAAAAAATTACAGGAAGTTCTTGAGAGCGTGGAAGGTTTAATTGTAATTACTCCCATCATATTTATTCTGCCGTCAGAAAGGGATCAGGTCGTAAATATACTGAAAGACAGGTATGCAAAGTGATTAGGGATAAAAGCGTTGTTCTAAATTTATATGGAAGGTCTGAAACTCACCTATTAATTTTATCCGAATACTCAATTAATCAACACGCAAATCATCTTGGAAAGAAGCTTAAACAGTCAGGAAGGTAAACGCTGTACAGTAAACAATTATTTACTTCTGAGAAAAAATAAATCAATTTTTACAAGCGTGCTAATTATAAATTTAAGTTCCAGTACGTACTTCTCTAAAATATAAATACATTTATAGTCTGGTTTCAGTCTAAGAATGCAATAGTTAATTATAAACTACAATTTATCAATCCGGGTAATTTCGTTGTTACCGCTATTCTACTTAATAATTGCTTACAAATTTTATATTATCATACTATTAGTTTCCTACAACTATTTATATATTGTGCCATGCTGATCTGTATATAGTAACGAATTTAACAATAGCATCGCTGTCGTCGCAACTGAATTGCATTTATAAACATAATGTACATCATTCAGTCTTTACATAGACTATAAGAAATTTTACAAATTAAGTAATTCTTAAAAGGTGTTGTCAAGGATTAAAAGATGTAGGTTTTGCTAGTATTGTATGTCCTATCATTTTAATAACTAAGGTTCTGTCCTATATTTTCGTAATGAAGGAAGTTCTTATTGATTGCTCACAAATGTGGTATATTACGTGGATTAATTGTATAATTATGATCTATTCACTTATATTCCCTAGCATCCCATATAACAGGATACTTCAAGAACGTAGTTCATATATAGTAGATACTAGATACCGTATATATCCAAAGTGTTTAAGTATATCTTTTACCTAATAGTTGTCTCATTTTTTTAATTCTTGTCTAGGAGATTGTATGCTAACAAATCATTCTGATCGCGAATATGAGGATCAAAAGTGGCCTTTTTGCTGTAGAATTATCACCTTTGCCTTTTTACTTCCTCCGGCGTGTGCACTATCCATTGCTGTTTGCCTTTCTTGGTTGACACTTTTTCTCTGTGAGTATGCATTATACTTCTAGATTAACTCAACTGTATAAAGCAATATTACAATATACTAACGGTTATTTCCGACGTTCATCCTTTATATCATCACATACAACCCTGCATCTCCATGTCATAGCCATTGCAGACGGTGTATTGTCTAAATATTTAGCTACTTGGAATGCTTTGGTGACTTTCTCAGTCTTTGAAATTCTTAAAGTATTATCAGTGGTAAAACAGTAAACGGCACGCTCGGACAGACTTACCTTACTACCATCGAGATAGAATAGCAATTAGGAACAATACGGATATTTAGATGCGTTTATCTTGATCTTCTATCATTTTATTATATATACTATACTGTGGAGGAGTGATTACAGTACGGTATTTGCGCATATCCGGTTCACTGGTACGGTAAATAAGATTTCTGACTACTTATATTTTAGTTTCTTTATTCGAATAACAGTCGAGGATAGCATTGTTTATTGATGTGTTAGTATATAGAATGAAATGTATGGTATTTACCTGTACACGTAGTAGTTAACACAATTAAGTTAATTACCTATTAAATGATAAAGTCATGATACCGTACAATCACAAGTTTGGAAATACTATTCATGCCATAATTCGCAAAGCTTTGCCTTCTGCCACATTTAATCACCTAACCTACATACTAGGGATTCCCAAAGACCATTTAAATAGTATACATATTAAGCGAATTGCTGGTAATTTTAGTGTTACACAGTCAAATTTTAAGGATTTATTGATATTCTTATAATGACCTATGATATCCCTGTTCAGGGTCTGAGCCGAGCTGATCTAGTTCATGCTATGATAATGGTGTATGTATGAGTTAGTACTAATAAATGTGATTTAACAGAAAATTTCTTTCTGAGACACTAATATGATTCGTCTGCTGATTTAATCAACAGTCCAATGTTTCTGCCTGGATAATGTGTGTTATGAAGACGCAATTGCGTTTTGCCGTTCACTGATGATGGCACCATATCATCTGTTACTATGGGCGGTCGGCACTCCGAATCCTGAAGATTCACGTTTAGAAAATGAAGAGAGTGAACAACTGCTGCTGCGAGATGCACATGAAAAAACCGGTCAAGGATTAGAAAATACAGATTCATTACCTTGAAAGTATTAAACTATGAGTGCAGAGCCTTTAGTAATTGCAATAGATTTAGATGCGCCGTAATATTATAATTTTGATGAAAGTATATGACATCTCTAATACTGTGCACAATATTTTCATTTTCCTGGATAATAAAGGCTTAATAATTAAAATATTTCTTTGTTTGCAATTATATTCAGTATCAAAAAATTAGCGTCATTGCCTGCTAGATAATTACATTATATGTTATATTTCACAGTAATATAGTACATAATGATATGAATACTTACAATAGACAGAAAGAAGCATTGCGAGTACGAAGCGTTATTTGGATATTACAAGGTCCTAATTTTGAGAAAATTAGCCTGACGATGGTGAGGGAGTTTAAGTTTCAAATGCGTTTAATCTTCGGTAGTAGCAATGGAAATGTAAAGCGCACAACCGTGACCATGCATGCATCAGCCTGAGGGAATAAAATACTTTATATAGTCTCCTATACTTTACACCTTTGCTTGCATAACACCGCTTTTTGCGCACGTGCCATATAAGTTCTCGTACAATGTACAGTGAATACCGACCGTATCGTGCAAACGCTTGCTAGCTAGACTGAACTATGAATCAGTCTTATGGTGGGATGAACCTGTTTCGCTAAATACTTCTAATAGGATATACGATAAATGCATTGTATCATAATCTTTGCAAATGTATGAATGTGACTCGATAGTCATGATAATAAGATAGCGTCCCGTGATTGAAGTACTAAGCTCTTGTTACCTCGTTACTTTGATGTAATACTTGTATAGTAGTCGAGCTGCAAAAAGCAGGTTTGTATTATATTTCGATATTTTGTCTAGACCATTGCTGCTTAGCATGATGCAAAAAATTGCCATTAGAGTTCATTACTTTTCGAAGCTCTAAGCTTGGAGCCACTAATGTACCTCAAAACTATATAAATATAGCTAGACTGAACTATGAATCAGTCTTATGGTGGGATGAACCTGTTTCGCTAAATACTTCTAATAGGGTATACGATAAATGCATTGTATCATAATCTTTGCAAATGTATGAATGTGACTCGTTAGTCATGATAATAAGATAGCGTCCCGTGATTGAAGTGCTAAGCTCTTGTTACCTCGTTACTTTGATGTAATACTTGTATAGTAGTCGAGCTGCAAAAAGCAGGTTTGTATTATATTTCGATATTTTGTCTAGACCATTGCTGCTTAGCATGATGCAAAAAATTGCCATTAGAGTTCATTACTTTTCGAAGCTCTAAGCTTGGAGCCACTAATGTACCTCAAAACTATATAAATATTGAAGACAGTATCAAAAATTTTTAGTGATGTCCAAACTGCGTTTATCAGTTCAAAAAAAATAAAAAGGGAAATGTAGCACAATATGTTAGGCCATATTTATGGCGCGTATCAGAAACTGAGTCACGTGTTACACAGTATAGACGTAATGCCTAGGCTTGTAAAGATACCAATTTCCGTGAAGTTGTGATTCCTTATGATAGATATAGATATTATTAATTCACTATACAACACATCAAGTTGAGGGTGTGAAGTATACTTTACTGTATATCCACTGCGCTTTGATATATCTATAATACTCCGTTCATGTAGTTTATGTACAGACTGCAATGCATGATATCGAATGTTGAAGATTATGAACCTACGTGGTAGCTTTAGAGAGATTTCTAGACATCTATAACAGTTGATAGCTAATCAAAAACATTTCGTAATTGAAAACGAAATCTAATGTTGTATACTTATTTATAGATTACATCAATGCTACTGTACCAAGTTCACCATTATAAGGAAACTTTCTCGAGATTATCTCGTTCAAAACTTAGTGGTACAGTAAATAAAATTATTAACCCTAAACCACGCGTTATTCAAAATTTGGTATAATAGATTCTACGAACGGCAGTACTAATTGCTTCATAATCTAGTTATCTTTAAAATGACAATTACAGTTGTCATCCTAAAGGAATCTACTACACTTACAGAACAATGACGATACTACCGTAATTGATTAAATTTTTCTAATACATCAAGTTATCTTGTAGTCTAGTTGACAAAGAATTTATGTTAATGCAGTGTGGATAATATTCAACGTTTGATCATATTAGCAGGCACATTTGCTTTCATTAACTGGTTGGTCTGTTGTTATTGTTGTAGTACCGCGAGAGTTGGTCGGTTTATGTTGTACTCCAGATTCCGCTGCATTAAGATCCAGGCTAGAATTGATACGTAAGGCCATTGATTAGCATTACATAAAAATATATTCTAGAATCCATTCTAAAAAAATTTCTTACTTATTACTAAATAATTACCTGCCGTCTTGGATATTTTGATAAATTTTCTTTGCAGTATCTAGAAATGCTTCTTCTACGTTCTCACCGCTAGTGAAGCAAAAATATACGAAGTTCAATGAAACAAACATCTAGGGTAGGCTGCAAGGTAAATTAATTAATTATATTTACGTTTTTGCACTTGCTTCAAGATAAAGAAGACCTAATGCGAAATATATATAATGATCAAGAATGTAAATTTTGTATGAAGAAACCATTGCTGAAGATTCATCAATTCGCATATACCGTTTTCATCAGCAAATTGCTTGGCTTCCTCGTATGTAACATCCCGCTAGGCATCAAAAAACAAGAATTAGATCAGCATCATGATAGTCACATTAATAATAACTACAAATACTACATCTAGTAATCACCTGTGAATCGAGATCGCATTTATTTCCAATCAATACGATAACCTATATTTAGAAGATTTTAGATAAATCTTTTCATTGAATTCCTTATTAATATTATAGCGACATAACGTTGCTAATGTAATATGCGATAAGTTTCACTGACCGTATTTGGGTTTGTAAGATTTCTAGCATCTGTTAACCAACTACTCAGATGATTGTAAGTACTTCTGCGAGTGATATCATATGCCATTAACGCTCCTGCAGCACCGCGATAGTAACTACGAGTAACTGCCCTATTTCCAGGAAAATAAGTCATTGATTAAGCTAGTTATTGTATCGTGGTAATCCAAGCATAATTATAAGAACGTATTATTTTTACTCGTAGTACTAATAAACTATATACATAATTTATATTAGCTTATCTACCTGAATCTTTCCTGACCAGCAGTATCCCATATCTGCAATTTGATCTTCTGTCCTGCAACCTCTATTATACGAGTGCCAAATTCGACTCCAATAGTATGAGGACAGTCAGACATAACTATATTACATCCGATGAGAGTATACCGCTTAGATAGTGTAGTGCAACAAAACAAATACGTTTCCATTTAAATTAAAATAACGTCATATTTATTCCTGTAACTTACATTTTTTTTCCGTAAACTGGTGTAGTAAGCAAGATTTTCCTACTCCCATATCACCTTAAGTAATGGCAGCAAACATATAAGACGTATGTTAATACGAGTAGTTATCAGTGATATCATTGTATCTATATCTAATACAAATGTTTCATGAATTTTGATAATACTCATATTTACCGATAATAATGTATTTAAAAATATAAGAATAATTATACGGCCCAGCGGTAGCCATTGTAGTATTCAGAAATAAACTCGGCAGTTGAAATACGGAAATTAATCACCTAGCTATCTATCTAAATTGAATAAAAATTTATAAGTTAGTGTCATTTATTGTTCCGTAAACGATTGGAAAATAATTAAGAAACCTATAAAACCACAAAACTGAACAATTATACGCGTATATCGTAAATAGATCACAATCAATCCAAAAGCTATGGCTAAAATTCGAAAACAAAGTGAGCAATAGAAATAATATACAACCAATCGTACCTGTATTATTCCGTATTTTTATAGCGCGAAACAGCAGAGTATATAATATACCGAATTTCACGAAAAAGATCCTCACTGATTATCCACCGTCTTCAGATACAACCAAATAAAAATAGTTGTTAACTGTTTGATCAAAGTGTATCCTTATAAAAATAACCCCTAAAAGAATCACATAATAAAGAAGTTGATACGACGAATAGTCTGATTAATCAGTTAGGAATTCCATTGATAAATACATACGCCTTGTCTTAAATTGTAAATAAATATTCAGACATGCTACAGTACTACAACTAAGACGAAGTGGGTTAGAACATGTGGTCCATCAATATAACGTAGGTAACGTAAGTGTTTAGAACTGTTCGTAAGGAGACTTGGATTAAAATTTGTCAGAAATGCCGTACAGAGAATCAGGGGTAAATCTGTCATTGAATACTGAAAAGTTGCCGGTTCCTTTTCAGTAGTTCATGATTGCACAATATGTTACGTGCATAGATCTACTCTGAGTCTGTATATAACTCACAAAAGGGCGTGCATTGTCAGTACATAAACGTCCATGTTGCATCAAAGTGTACCAATTCAAATGGAGAGAAAAATCTGGTGTGTACTTACAATGTACGGTATGCTATTGCTTAGTGAAGATTGACCAAAATGCAATTTATATATAAACAGTATAGCTGTTGAAGAGTTTGAAAACGAAATCCAAATGTTGAATGCTGCTTTGTGATTAATATGCGTAAATACCAATAAATAGAGCGGTTTCCTTGCTTAGTTAAAGCCTGTATTTATTACCTGCAGTTTACTACTAGTGTCTCACTTTCGCAGAAAATTTCAAATATGGAATACAGGTAGTGCTACATCTGACAGTAAACAATCCGGGGAATGTGATCTGAATTAAGGTCTAGCAGTATGACTTGTAATGCTGCAGTAATATCTCTTTTACTATATGAACAAACTACCGTTTCTAATCAGCAATCTAGTAAAGAACTACTCATTAGCGTACTATATTACTGTAAATACGACGTACTTAAAAGCTCCTAAAATGCAATTACATGTTTCGATACGATATATGCGAACAAAACCCTGATATACGAGTATAAGTGATTTCTAGTATAGTATTATAAAGATTGTTCATGTTTAAACCACTAGAATTTTTCCTTTTACCTCGGTGATTAGTAATTAGCACTGCCGTCATACAGTTGTAACAGTAACAGTACTGTACTGTACTACTAGTAGTGTACTGTCTATTGCCTACAGTACAGGCCGATTCTTCCGACTACAAGTCAGTACAATAATTTACTGTGTCATACTGTACAGTACAGTATGTTGAGAACTTGGGCATCATACAGTACTGTATGTACAGACTGTAGAGGCACAACGCACGCTGCAATCACTACCGACATGCATACAGTACATTGTATGTACTGTACACTGTACTGTACAGTACGTACCAACTGCCGTAGACATAAGCACAGTACTGAGATAAGAGGTTAGGGTTTTTTCTTACCAATGGCAGGGTGCGAAATAAGATTTGTCATGAAAAGAGTAAATGCCATTTTAATTCAACTTATGCGACTACACTGGGGATTTATGATAGAAAAGATATACTGAGAGTAATAGTCGGACTGTTAAACCGTAAATTTAAAGAAGTTAAAACGACTGCTACGATGTAATAGATACTACAATAAATACATACTGTTACACTAGAGATTGCCGAAGAGAAAGTACGACACTACAACTGTACCGATCATTAATGAGAGTTTAGTCAGCTTTCACTACCTTGCACTAAAATCTTAATGTTAGCTATAAACAATACCGCTTCGTGTCAGAATATTTATAATTCAGTGATCGATAAATAGAATTATTAACCGCAAAGTATCGCCACGATTAATATACCGTTTATTAATGTATCGACGAATATTTGAAGTTAAGCAGTAGTACCCCCTGATTACTGTAGGTATATATTTTAATACACTCCATTTCGTTACATTGACTTACCAAAGCAATTGCAAATTAATTGTGCAAATTTTAATTGGATTCGATTTTGATAGCTCACGTATTATTCAGAGAAAGATGATAAGACTAGAAACGATGCAGCACCAACACTATGTATTGACCGGAGTAACTTTTCCGAAGTTGTGACACTGCGACAGACACTTCCTTGCCGTGGTCCTTACGTCCTTACCAGCGATGGTTCAATAAATAAGTAAGTAATAACCCAAAAAGATGGCAAAGCAAACAAGTTCAAAGCTCCCTTATTACTGCCTCGTCCAGTACTACTGTTACCGTAGCACTGTAATGTACATATACAGTACGGTACTGTACCGCTGACTAGAGCTCTGCGCCATGCAGCCAAGCACAGTTCGCCACAAAATAGCGTGATTAATGTACAGTACAGTACAGTACAGTACAGTACAGTATTTTGGTGGCCAATACAGTACAGTACAGTCATACTGTACTGTACTGTAGAGGTAAGAAAAAACCTCTATGAGTACTGTACAGTGCATGCGATGTACAGTACACTGTACAGTACAGTAATGATTACAAATGGGGAGGTGTACTGTATTGTACAGTACTGTATACTGTACAGTGTACAGTCCTGTGATCATTACTGTATTAGGGGACACCTACAGTACAGTACAGTACCGCTCTACAGTACAATGACGGTCATACTGTAGGACTTGTAAAATAATATTGCAGTGGACCACAAACGTTCTAATGACAGCGACAAAATCTACAGAAACTTGGACTAGTCAATCGATAATTATAATTACAGCAGAACTAGGCAGTTACAGGATATGCACTTTGAATTTTATTCTGCAGAGTAGAATTCAAAGTCGATCTCTATCTACAGTACAGTACTGTACACTGTACAGTACAGTACAGTACGTACTGTACACCGTTCACAGCTTGAAGCTGGGGGTGGTTGAGGAGTCCCTGTACCGTACTGTACAGTACAGTACAGTACTGTATATCAAAACCTAACTTTTTAAAGTTTTATGATATAAATGTACTCTATGCAGTACAGTACAGTACTGTGTACTGATGATCACTGTTGAGGGGAAGGAAATGAATATTTGTAAAACCGCAAATTGCAATACTGTTCAGTGTCGAATAAAAAAGAAAGAAACTAGAATTAAAAAATAATATTAATAAACTAGTAGGGATGAATTGGATAGATGATATTCCAGTTTGCCCATCAACTGGCATAGGAACTGTAACGAATGAACGAATTGCTCCTGACGGAATATCTTCTTGCCACGAGCACGAGTATGACGACTGCAGTTTCAGGTTGCATTATGGAAACGGTAGCTATCTTTATGGTGTTTTCGATGGTCACGACGGTAAACGCGCTGCCGTTTTCGCATCGCAGAGATTCCCGGCTGAAATACTCTTGGAGCAAAGGATTAGCCGTGGTATTTCAAGTTGTGATGTGGTTAATGTTTTAGTGGATGCATTTAATTCAGTGGAACGAGGATTCTTTGAATCCATATCCGATCTATTAACCGAACGGATAGAACTGTTGCAAAGTTTACCCACGGTACGTTACTTTGATACAGTACGTTAATGTATTTTAGTTATAAGTCAAATCAATTGTATTGAATTTCTATGGAAAGTTATAGAGCTGAATCCCAGGCTACACTTACTTGATTTTGTGCTTGCTGTTACTGAGCGTATTTTAATCTATGCTCATGTTATTCTACACCGATGCTTTACATTTCTATTACGCTCTATATATTACTTCCTTAATTTTGCAATCATAATAACATTTATTTAATATTTATTAACTGCTACGTATTTATTAATATTTGACTTTAAATATTCGGAGTGCTTACATTTTGAAGTCAGGATGGCTAATTATTTGATTTAAACCTCTTGAAACTTAACGTCTAATATGCCTTTGGCACGACTTAACATTTCATTTTATGCGTTACTTAGACCATGAATGATTACGAAGTATTCAAGAAATACCCTAAAAAAGTGGAACGTTTACAACAGCTCCAAGAATTAATCAGCGGCGGTGCTGCTGCGGTAATCGCGCTGATCCATGAAGACAACCTTTATGTTGCCAGCGTGGGTGATGCAAGGTAAAAATTATTCTCGTAGATATGATTACATGTTATATATAACTTTTAAAAGCTAGATCAGATCGCATGAGTAGGTTTCATCATTTACACTCTGAATCCGAAGAATTCTTTTTCTTTATTTGTACCCCTCCATTTTAATTAATTATAATAGAATGAAATTGTTACCCCTTCAGTTACTCACACTGCATAAGTTTGTGTTCGTGATTAAGTTCATCGACTTTCTAATAAAAGAACGTCCTTTATCGCTACTTGTGCGGCATACTTGAGTAAAGTCGACACTTAATACAGTATTATTAAGTCTCAAGTTTAATTGAGTGTGATATTCACGTACTTTACTTTTAGACATATGAATAATTAAGTTAAGAAGACTTGAACAATATTCTTAAGAACTCCTGTACAAGAAAATTGCAAATTTGCAGCTAATTTGAATGATCGAAACTTATACTTTGATTAACAAGCATTATACTCATTAATTTTATCTTAGGGCATTGTTATGCTACCGAACTGAAGGAAGTGATTTCGAAGTTCAGCAGCTCAGCATTGATCATACAGTTAGTAATAAAGACGAAGCTTCGCGCTTGCGATCATTGGGTATCGACATAAATCGATTGACGAGTTCTGGAGTTCTTGGTAGCCATAATAATACACGAACTATTGGCGATTATTACTTGAAGGGTGGCTATAAGGAGAGCGATATTTTGAGGTTCTGTATAGTTATTACTGCCAATGATGCATACTAATATGCACTATATATACTTTATATTGCAGTTGATACAACGTTGCATTTATCAGTAGCAGATATATTGTAGCCTAGTTGCTTTACTTACGCCGTGACAGATAGTTATTTAATTCTTTATACGACAGGATGTTCTAGTATCTGACTATTTTTATTCAATAACAGCCTTACGCTTGCTATTTAATGTACTATGTGGACTATTTTTAGTAGATCAAAGAAGTTCTAGATACGCATCGATTTGACTAGCTCACTACGTTTGCAAGCATTTCTATCATAAATTCTCTAATACATTAAAATGCGTATTATAGTATGTAAAGCAGGTGTACCAGATGTAGTTCTTTTTTCAGTATTACTGGAAAGTGACAGAGCCAGTACAGCCCATTAAATTGCCCGTTGCGATCAAATGTAGTGAAGTGTAGCTCTACTTCTATCGGTGTATTTATTTTTGTCATTTCAATACACGAACAACGTATATTATATTGTTATATTATTGATAGCTGAATCTAGTACTGTGACCCGTAGCTACACCAATCCCATTTTGGCTAATGTAAAAGTATCACAGCTGTAAGCGCCATAAAGTAGCAATTAATCTTTGAATGTTTTCTGTATATGGATCAGACTACTGCTCTATGATACCAGTATCTTACTCCGAGCCTAGCATAAGAAATATAACAAATTTCTAAAGTTTATGACTATTTTGGACTGGGTTGACATTCGATTCGATTGCGCCAATTTTTAATTGCTCAAGGGTTTACAGTGTGTTACCACGTTCTCAACTAGTACGAATATACAAGGAGACATATATGTATAAACGGACAAAGTTGCGCATATTCTTACTGTTAATTACATTAAATAGGTAATGCAGGCGTAGACATATTTTCAAATATGATCCCAGAATTCTTCTTGCATGGCAATTGATAATGCGCTTATAATATGCAGGTTTTGTATGCAGTAAAACGGCATTTTACTTCTTACAAAAATAACAGATAAGGTTGCGAAATGTTACTTTAAAAGGCTGAAGTTAAACTAGACTTTATTACTTAACAATATACTCCAAAAATTATAACTTAATTTGAGATATTGTCAATATATTCATGTTTTTTCTTAATTTATTTATTTAAAATTTGAAATTAGCGTGTCATTGAGTGAACCAATTACAGCAAAACCAGACATTCGAGGTGGTTATCCTATAAATTATGACTCTTGGCATTTTTTGGTTCTTATGTCGTCTGGAATATACAAAGTACTGGAAGCACATTCGAATATTACAGATCCAAATATTTATATTGCAAAACTAATTTGGAGTAAATTGGAAAGAGGAAAAGACATTAATGACGTCTCTCAACAGGTTGTAAACGAAATATGCCGAACTCACAGGGCATGTTTTAATGATCAACGTAGCAATTGTTGGTATCATGAGGATATGACGTTGTTGGTACGATCATTTGGTCACAGTAAAATCAAAAGGCAATCGCAGTTATTAGTTGGACAAACGTATAAAACCGACTTGATGCATCCTCCATCAAGTTTAGAAAATTGTAAAATATCACCGAATTCCGATAAAGAGGCAATCTACACTCACTCTTCATGTCAGTCCCCCAAATATGATCGATCTATGAACTCGGCAAGTCAACCTTTTTTTAATTTTAACGAAAAAAGCGCAGCTGTAGCTAACATAGAAGCGAACCCATTCGATAAGCAAATCTGTCAAAAGCATGAACAATTAACAACTTCTCTCACAACTCCTAGCTTTGTAGAAAGTATCAGCAATCGGAGATTGAACCATTCAATTTCGACACCAAGTCATGGATCTACGTGCACATCCTCGTGCCTTGAACAATCTAGAAAATTTGATAACATTAATCCATCGAATAATATGCAAGACTCGAAAGTACAAAGCTATTCTGCTGAGCAGGTGTCATGCAATAGATCAAACGATATTTTTCAATCTGACAAAGGAAATCACAGTAGCGATTATAACGGCGAATTTGGTAAATTAGTTGTTAGTGAGGTACCATTTACTGTTAAAAGAGAATCTAGTCAAGTCTTCATTTCAGATGACCTGCTTATTAGTCCAACTAAGCCAGCAGAAGCCAAGATGGCCTCTAATCTGCCGTCTGAGTCGAAAATGTCCACGTCAGAAAATTGCGAAATCAATAAATTTGATATTTGCCCTACCGAAGAAAGCAGCTTCGGTAACAGTGAAGAAAGCAATATTAATGATACACCTGATGTTGATAGTGGTGGCATAAGTCTTTTGCAAGTCGATCGCGGCAATGGAAGGAGCAGCGTAACTGAAAATGTGGACGCAAATGTTGCTTCTTTAGATTCAAGCTATGCTGACTCTTATGTTAATTTTAGCCCTTTAGAAGAGACACTACGAAAGTACGGTGTTGAGATTGATGAGCTGGTTGACGGATCCTAAACAGTAAATTCACTTAAAAGAACATATTAAATTACTCTCATTAAATCTTTTATCTTTGATTAATACTGGTGGCTATTGCTACTATAGTACTCTGAAAGGACACATATTTATTAAATCATGAGGGTTCATGTTGACCAGAGGACCTAAATTATTGAAATTTCTTTGCAGATACCCGAAACAGCGGGAGGAGTGATTGCACAGTAAAGCCTTATTGAAGCTATCGAGTTTCTCAATCTCATTTGCAAAATGTTGAATGTTCATCAATAAATTTACAGTACTGTATAGCGCTTCAGCTTATTTTCATAGTAACGAATTTTACATGCTGCGTATTTCTTATCTATCCTTATATACGCGTATATATAGCATTTAGGGATTAAGCTATCAGTAAAAATCAAAGATTTACATCTTGCTTATGTTAAGTGATTCATAGTTCTTTAACCTTTCATTTCTTTTACCCTTCAGCATGTGACTTTCATAGTACGTGCTACGGCTAGCGGTACGTAAAGATTGAAAGAAATAACTGTAAAAGTGATGGAAGTTGAATGTGCAGAATATGATATTATTTATTGTAACTATGATAGATATTGCAAATCATGGTAGTGCTTGAACTTTTTATGTAGAGTGAAGTTCAACTTGACCAAAGTTTTATAGAGTAAAACTGTAATTGCAAAAAAACATATAGTGAAATCTGCATATTACTGATGCAAATTAATGTATAACGTAACCACTTTTTTTCCATATACAGTACAGATTTGCTATTCGTAATTATTAATTTATATATAACACATGTATAGTATGTATTATTAAATGCAAGAAGTGTATTAGTTCGCAGTTTGATCGTAAAATCGCTTTAAATATGCTACGGCTTATAGATGACTAATGATGAAGTGAAGAAAATACGTACGTATTTACTGTAAATTACATTTTCTTTCGGAATAACTCACTGATTTTTTCTATAGTAACAGCTCTTGTACAGATAAGCAGGGTAAAACGAAATGAGCGTCATGTTTTATACTGCTGACCCAAAAGAAATTAAGAAACAAAAGAATGTCCTGATCGAATAAAAGCATGACCATCGGAGACAGTAGAATTGTTTTATTGAAAATTCTTCGCCGTGTGTTACTAGTACAGTGTACCAACAGGTCTGGTGTGCAGTGCATTGTTTCAGAACGCACATAATGGCATTCGATCGTTATTAAATACTATACAGCATACGCAAGCGCTCTAAATAAAATATCTGCTTTCGTGATACTTGGCCATGAAGTCTACAGTTCCATACGTATCTATACTAACATTAAAATACGATAAGAAAGGCGAAATTTACAGTGTTACGCACTTTTGTAAAATTTTTTATATATGCCTTATGGTTTCGGCAGATTCGAAGAACATGTAATCACGACAGAGTCCCAAGAAGCAGATAAAGGATTCAAATTTCGTTCGCTGATCCTTCCTATTCTCTTAATAATAGATCATTCACTAATCTTTACGAAATGATCTACGTTTCACTAACAGCGTACACTGCACTATTTAAATTTTGCAAAGTTTTAAAGAATTGTACAAAATCTTAATCTTTCATTTATATTTTGCTATTATAAGCGAACTATTTCCAAAATTTTTAAGAATGAGCTAGATCTAGTGTGAAAGTTAAATAAACATGCATAATACATAGTATTCCATGATGACAAATCTGTCAAATAACAATTAAGTCTTAGGTAAAGCTGATTTAATGGATCATAAGTACAGTGTTAAGAGATTACCACGATGTCCGCTGAAATAGTCACTACCCATGAGTAAAATAAGGCAATAGCTTGATTCTGTAATAGCATATGTACTTTCGTAAAACAAATAAAAGGTCAGAAGGTTCATATTCCTATAGGTTACAATCTCTTTAATGCCCTTTTTTTGTCTTTAGTTTTTCTTTCAACTTTCTTTTCTTCAAAATATCTTTTCGTTGCTATCTCTCCCTTTGCGGGATCAACATTTTCCGAAAGGCTGTTTTTCTTATAGTCCATAGCATGTATCTCGGTCATCATCATGGCCCGATGTGAATAATCAATATAACGTTCTAGTAATAACCTACCAGCTTCTTCATTTAAAGCCGATTCTGGGTTTGGAACAATTAGGAGACACTTGATTGTCTGGAAGAGTTTAAAAGTATCATTTAATAATTATACAGTATTATCCACACACAAGTTATAGCTGATTTACAACTTAGCAGAAGATTGTGTTTGCTACATGATCACTTTGGATATAATTATAATTAGTACCAGTAGAATATGTTGGATTCCATAATCAGGCTTCCAATCTTTCTTCAAAGTATTAACACAAATTGCTCCATTCTGAGCGACGTTGGGATGAAATATTTTAGTTAAAAAATACCCTGTAATAAATTTAGAACTGCATAAGTGAACTAATTTAATTAGTGCTACAACACATATTTATAACCCAACTGATAGATATTAACGGTTACATTGCCGAAAATGGCCGTGTTAACAGCCAATCGTTTAGAAAGGTAAGTCTACATATTGTTTAAGAGGTAACGTGATATACGCGTATCATTGATGTTTCAATGCAATTATGAAACCTTATGCTTGCTATCACATATTCGTTCAGTATTATAAATGGTATTGATATCAATTAATATTACATCTACACTAGTGGTCCAATAGTCAATGGGTTTATACCTTGAGGGGGTACCATTGGGAAATCTTTACCCAACATCAACTTTAGGCGGAATATTCCACCTTCGTAAGGAGTTCCAACTATTACATGGAATACATATTTTAGTAACATTGAATTAACGAAGAGTTAAAATATAAATTAACAAATATTTTATAATATAATCGTAACATAAATCACATAAATAATAGGAAATAAAATCTTCGTAAATCCCTATATTAACATTTGACTTAAAGAATACTTCGTTAGCAAGTTAATTTATTATAAATTACATTCATATTGTATGATTTGACATTAAGTAATTGCGATAAGTTCTGGATGGTCTCTAAATCTATTAAGTATCTGAACACAATGTACCGTACTATGAAACAATTTTTTATTCTGATTAATCTGTTACGTCTGGAAAGCTTCAATGAAGTAAAGTAGAAATTATAGTCATTGCTATCGTGCTACTGTACGTTACGATAGTGGAGTTACGAATTTATGTAGCTATTAAGTAGGGTATAATTTGGTAAGACATGTTTACGTAGAATACGCGTAAGTGCTATACTGTACATACTGTATTATACATATGATTATTTCTTAATGCATTAGTACTACATAGTATCATACCTGGTCCTTCAATCGCTGCGTAAAGAGTAGTGACATCACCGTCATTAGGAAAGATTTTGATTCCCTCGGGTGGATCAGACATCAAATTTCCGAGTTCTCTTATAACTCGCTTAACAATTTCAGACGGTAGAGCCTGACCTAATAAATTCTTTTGTAAAGTAGAATTTAATTAACAAATATTTAAAAATTAGCTGGCGTTTAGATTGATTGATTTTATAATACGAATATTAGCGTTCAACTACGATTCGATTCGAAATTTGTGCATCTAGTATTACAGTACAGTACATTAAGTTCTTCCTTACCAAAGCTAATTCATGTCTATGAGTATAATGACCACAGAGTAGCCAGCAAAAAAATAGACCTTATAATACTGTATAATCTACAAAAAAAAGTGCAAATGAAGGTCCCTGATTCATTTGCGTAGAGTATCTAATGGGCGCTATCGGCTCAATCGGTTCGAATGAAATATTAGCCAAGATTAGCTAGCGTGCATCGATATAGTATCTCATACTAAAGAAAATTACCATAACTCAAAGACAAATAACGAAAGATATATATATGTATATATGTTTTATATATATACAGTATAATTAATATAAATAGTAGTTAGTAAGTAGTAAGTACTGTTTAGATTTACCGCAGCCATTAAGTTAATTTTCAATAAAGTACGAATCTTTCGCCAAAACTGATCGGGCACGTCTTCTAAAAGTCGTTCTCAATGGAAGCACTATCTTAAATGATCTTTCTTGTTGTACTGTATGTACTCTTATAGTTGTTTCATAAATATGCGCATTTACAGTAGTTACTTATTATTAATTTGTGCAGTTGCGTCGTTTTTCTTTTCACCTTCAAACAGCTAGGGTACAGTACTGTATGGCCTACTCCAAAGTTATTTTCACAAATAAATAGCAGATCTAACGTACATGCGTTTTACGTTAACTTAATAAGAATCATAATACTGTATTTCGTCAAAATCGTTGCTCGTTTAAAAATTTAAAATTTGAATGTTTTTGTTACGATTACAGTATTTGCTGTACTATGTACTGTGAGGTCTACTGTCCTTTTTACTCTGATACTACTGTACTGTACGGTACTGTACAGTAGGCTACAAGTTCTCGGGTACAGTACAGTACTGTAGTCTTTTTCTTTTCTTTTTCATACTGTACTGCACAGTACAGTACAGTATTACGGTACAGTAGTGCACATAGGGTTTGTGACGTCAGTAAACACTAACGAATAACGTCTGTGCATAGAGTTAACTATGCGTGTGTACAGTATAGTACAGTATGTCTCAGTACAGTACTTTAAGTGTACTGTACAGTACAGTACCAGTATTCTCTACTGTAAAAGCGTAAAAGTACTGTACGTACAGTACTGTTGATGTTAAGTGCAGAGAGGTGTCGGATGACTAGTATTGAACGTCAATGTGTTCGTTATTGAATATTTACTGTACTTACACTGTGTACTGTACTTACACTGTGTACTGTACTGTACTGTACAGTACAGTAAGTCTGTAGCTAAATTAAGGATTTTTTATCAAAACGCTGCAATTTGCGCATTAGTAACTAACTATCCTAAAAGAGCGCTTAATTTACATTTACAGAAATACAGTGAATTACAAAATGTATCAAACTAAATCATTTGTAAGAGTTAAAATAGTCACAGTCAGTACCTATTACCGATATTTCACTGGAAGAGTCCATTTACCCCTTTTGAAGAACCCACTTCGCTCGCTACTAAAGCGATTAGAATGTGAATCTCCTCCACAAGTAGCAGTGCCGATATTTCATCGTTGTCAGAGCTGTTCCACGAAAAATAGATTGGATCAGAATAGATTAAACGAAACATGTTCAAAATTTATCGATGAAAATAAGACTACAAATCAAAAATTTTTTATTGATAAAAATATATCCTTAACATTTACATGCAAAGTTTGCGATAGTAGATCCACTAAGGTGTTTTCAAGACAGGCGTACGAGAACGGTGTCGTTATAGTTCGTTGTGAAAATTGCCAGAATTTACACCTCATTTCCGATAATAAAGGATGGTTTTACGACAGCAAAATGTAAGGATGCACAGGATGTGGTAGATCATAATGTACTATATACTAGGGTTGATACAACAAATTAATTTTAATTTCTTGCGTTGCATGATGCTGTAATATTGCAACAAATTAAATTGTACAATAAATTCCTTTAGTGCTGTAAGACTTGATTAATAGTGACATCATTGCAATTAGGGTCGGTAACTACTGTACTGTACAGTAGTGTACACTGTACAGTACATCTGTACTAAAGTCTTACATGAGCCAGTGTCCTACTGTACGCTAGAGCATATTCTATAGTTCTGCAATATACTACTGTACTGTACAGTGTACAGTCCATCATACAGTTATCAGTAAATGCTGCATTCGCAATTCTCGCATACTGTACACTGAGTGTACAGTAGATACGTATTTTATTATTATTATTATTCTTTCTTTCTTTTATTACTACTGCCGAACCTTGCACGCGCTCCTAGCTTGCATTCATACTGCAGATTCTGTAGATGCCCCACCATACAATCAGTCTTCGAGAGTATAAAGCTAGGAGTTTTTAATAAAGGTACGAGGGTGGGATCGTGCAAATACGTATAGTAAATTACGTAATTATATTGTTAGGTGAAATTGAGATACGTATTCTAGCTTTACAGGCGGCAGCTAGTAACTTACCTATCGTGGTATGAATAATAAACATTTTTTAAGATAGCAATCAGGGCTACGAAACATTAAGGCCAACTTTAATACAGTACAGTACTGTATTCTATTTTATTGTTTGATGTAGTCTGTCAGGTCTATGTAGTCACGTTCATGGACTGTTATGACAACACATTCGGTGCAGTACAACAGGCTACTGTATTCTTACATATATAACAATATCTAGTGAATAGCAACAGTATTTATAATTCACTATTTAATTAGAGAAAACATACCGTTACATATACAGTATGCAGTAGACCTGACCAAAATGCACGATAATGTCATAGATTTTGATCAGGTCTACTTGCAGTATCGGTACGTCATGAGAAATTATATGAAAGCAGGCAATTAACGTTGTAACCTCAGCTGCTGGTTGCTAGTTGCTACCGCTTTCAAAACAGGCAGTTCTTTTTAAGTTATACAGTATTTACGTAGTAAATTAAGAAAATACTGTAATACTTCGGATTACTGAACTATGGAGTACTATTTATTCTGTGACCTTCGATATATCCGCTACAGCTATCTGGCTTTGCTTTTTTCCACAAACCCGCAATTACAATGTTGACTTCTTTGCTATTATTACAGAGATATAGAGAAATTACTTAAAAGCAGTCAAGACAAAAAACCGCCATTCGATGAAGAATCTAAGTTTGCTTCGGGCAACGGTAATAGCAAATCATAAACATAAGATCTAGAATCGTAAAAAATATATTTTAAGCTATCAAAATTGCGTATCTTCTGTTATCCTTTAAAGGCAAATTTTGCTACTGTATGTAATGATAATTATATATCCACTTGCTTTCTGAATGATCTGAAACTATGCCTAGAATAGTTGAACTTGAGCTGTATAAATATGGCAGTCTTAGAAGAAGCAATCACTAATGTACTAGAAATCGCCTCCATTGTTTTAATATTTCATGCAGAATGTTACGCATATTCATATATTTCACCGTATAAGTATTGCGATATTATAGCTAATTATAATTATAATTAATGAATTATAACAGAAACTTCTATACATATAGATTCCTTAATTACCTAACAATAGTTGGTAGGTTTATCAGACGAATACCTTATTGCAAATAAGCAAGCCAACTTAAGAATCTAACAAAGAGTTAATAAATAAAAGAGAAACGATCTCGCATAATATTTACAAGACAGTATTAAATTTCCTATCGGCGGGCTAACGCTAAGATTCCTCTGTGTAGCTATGTACAAAGCCGAAATTTTGGTTACAATAACGAAGTTAAACAATTAGCTTCTAATTGATACCAACCGTTACTTAGCGTATCTTACATCACAATACTCCCCATTGAGGAAATCGGTATATCCGAAACAAAAACATATTTTTCGAATTGCTAATTCGTATTATGCGGTCATTCACGGCTTAAGAAATCAACTACTGCAGTAACAGTAAACTGAGCACTCGTAGAGTGATAAAGATATTTGCTATCCAACTAATTTTCTTATTCATGTAAGTTGGAAGGATTTATCGGCTTATCCATCTCTCAAAAGCCTGCCAGTAGATCGAATAATTATATAGATGCAACAGTAACACCAGCAACATGTACATATACGTACTGAACATCTACTTAATTATTTAGCGTCTAGTTAAATTATGGATCATGTTTTCAACTTTCGCGGTGTACTATTAATACCTTGAATTAACTCTAGAATTAACAAAAATAAGGATTTCATGAATAGCTACACAATGCTTTGGCGTTGAGATACTGTACTGTATATAATTATACTGTAATGAGTAATAAGCCGCTTACTTTTTAGGTTTTTACAATAGTCGATGATATCGAATACGCCAGCCTAACTTTCTTAAGTGAAAGATGAGCAAAGTTTGCTTTATTTATAGATCTTGCAAGAGTAATGCTGATTAATATATTTAGAGACTCTAATCTGATCCAAAGTGACCAGCAATTAGCATATTCTTTCAATGCAAAAGTCAAGCGTATGCAGTAAAATATACCGAAGACTTAAATCAAAGCTAGCCAAAGAGATTAGAAAAGTTTTTGTAGCGTTCCGAACATATTATACGGTGTATAAAGTAGGTTTATATCTATAGTCCAAAACTTCGATACTTTAATGACTTGAAATTGTAAATGCAAACATCTTTCTCCATCTAGCGTTGAATAATCGATTCGTGGATAATATATAATCAATAGTAAGCGGAAATATGGACTTTGTTGCTCGAAACAATCGCGTAAATTGCTGCAAGAAATGCTTATTAACATGGTTGAGTCTACTGTACTGTACTGTTACTGTACTTGTTACATTTCGCCATAAACTTCGGGAAAAGATTAAGGAAGCTCATGCTTTTACTTTACAATTACTCAGTTTGACAGTGACTACGCGTATGATAATATAATATAACCAGCGAAACCCGTGGAAATTCCACGGAATATAGCGCAATTTCAAGCTAATAGAGATAATCGCATAATACGATTTGATTATAACATTAATCTATTCTAGTGAAACCAATAGAAATTCCACGAAATACTATACGCTTGGATAGTGCGACTTCAAGTTGATAATAAGAGTACAGTATATTATACACCAGGTTATCCAGGATTGGTCATAACTACTGCAATACTTTGTTTAGAGCGCTTTCTAGATTTTATAAGTCTTCTCGAAGCATCAACAGCAAAGTATTGCAGTAATTACGATCAATCCTGGATGACCTCCTAATACAGTGTACAGTACACTGTGTACAGTACTGTACACTAGTCATTAAAATGTTAGCGAAGAGACCGGATGTTAAAAGCTATTGTCTGTTCTCTAAATCATTGGTATACTAATTTTGGTACATCGACAATCTTCTACAATAACTGTCTCCAAGCGGAACTTAGTAACAGATATGACCGATATTACGACGTGACTTGTAAAATAGTTGGAGCGACCGTACACTTAACAGCGACTGATAGATTGCATTAGAAACTTTAAAGAAATATAATTATTCAATACTGCGATATAAAGTGATAAAAATATCAAGAGTCAATTGCTCAACCGAGCACCCAGCCCTCTATCCGTCGCTATACTGTATTCACGGCTACAGTTAGTTACTACGCTTATGATGACGGATGATTTGCATATTTTATACAGTGAATATTACCGTAAAGACTATTACAGCACCAGTCTACAGTTAGTGAAATCGTTTCATGTTTGATGCACATGATACACTTTGCTATTCGTCTAGAATACATTTCACCGCCGTATAAGAAATGAAGCAACAAGGCAAAGAACGACGTAGATTGGCTATTAGCACGATTTCCATAGGCAGAAATCCGCGTACAATCGTTACTCCGCATCAATTGCAAAGAATGAATGAACAATGTAGCGAATGTGGCGCAAAAGTTTGGCTTGAAGAACGTCAGACTGGATCTTCAATAAATTCTCCAGTTTTTCAAATATATTGCGGACAACAAAGCATTTATTTAACTTTGCGCTGTTTATACCCATTTTAACTCTGAATTGCGTGCATTAGCGACCCTGAAGAGACTCTAAGAACAATAAAGTAATAAGGATCTCTAGAATGCATCACACTCTGTCTGATGTATATCATTAAACGTTGCATTATCAACAACGCTGCTGCACGTAATACAGTATTACTCAATTTAGAAAAAATCAGTAAATTCAAAATCGATAATCTGCATACTAAAGTAGTGTCATAACGAAGTGTTTGACACAATATTTTGACGAAATGAAGCCGGAAGTGTCTGTCCATCCAAGAGTGATCATACCAAAAATAGTTTCTAGAATAGTAGTTCAGTACTGTCCGTTTTATTTACACCTCACAGTCAAAGTTTCTGTGGTTAGTGTGGTAGCTCTTCGAATCCTGCAAATGGGGACAACTGCATAGAATGGGATGCTTGTACACGAAGGGGAAAAGACTTACAGTTAAAGCTGTCGTATTAACTAGCATGCTAATCTTTTTTAATCTCCTATTTATTCAAAATCAACTAGAGAAAGCTAATATAAAAGCTACATTTGAGAAAGGTACATCATTTACGGAAACTCCTCGAAATTAACTGTAAATATGAAAAAATTATTACTGCATTCGAACATTTATATACATACATTATGTATATATATATATATATATTATAATTGATTTGATTCTTTAGTGCGGACGAATAACTATCAGAATACTTTTTCAGATATAATTCTGAAGATACCCAAATATTACTGCAGTTATTGATATTCAAAATATTCAGCGTGACAAATACGAGTATACTTATAGATACAATAGAGATCTTAGTTTCTATATTTCGTACATAATATAACATACAGTGCGTAGTGTACGTACATTCATGATGTAGTACGCTTACATGTACTCATTCGAATAAAGCTTGTTGGTTGTTTATCCAGTGCAATAAGATACGCGAAGCAACAACGTTTCACTGCCAAGTGCAAGTACAGTATGTGACAATGATAATTATGAGATAATTTAACAATGTGAAGACTTTTATATTTATAATGCATTTATATATGAATCGTTTAATTTAATGTGATATTGGTAACAGAAAGTTGTACTGTATTCTTATGTCCATGCTAAAATTTTGACATAACATGCATACAGTACTGTATTGCAGTCATTTTCATAATTATATTGAAATTTGGAGATTAAATGTTTAAAATGATCTTATTATTTGTTAGCATCCTATTAGTATATATTATGTAATGTTCAAGATAAAGGAATATTATTACCTTATGTATAAATGCTTACGCAATTTATGACTAGACTTAGGAAAATATGGCAATACCGTTATGGATAAATCATTCGAAGACTTGGTTACGGTTATAATTTACGAATTCGGTTAGTTATGGAGATGTTTTATTGCCAAAGATCGTATCTTGTTTAATGATTGATGAAACAGTTGCACTAATAAATGTAAAATATTATCTAATTGAGTGCTTCTATCAGAGGAATTCGAAAATAACTTATTGAAAACGGTGGAGTCTATTCTGCAGTTCTTTCCTAATATCAACATACTCCTCGTCTGCCACGGAAATCCCTATCCGCCTTTGCAATTTAATAGCCCTAACGTAAAGGTACATGGTCATATGTATTCTTAATTACAGTGGAATATCTACATACCATACTAAGTATTTTTGATGCCATACTTGCTTGCCTCTTTAATCATGTCTTAGCTATTAGCTGTGCTAACGAATTAATTGTTTCATACTGTAACTATTGTATGTTATCACTGAAAGAAGCATTCGAACATTTCTACTGTAGAGAGAATTAAAGTGAATTAATAGTAGATACGCAAATCTTATTGGTCATCGCTATTTAATTTTGTGTTGGGACCATTGCTTGATATTGTTTATTTGACATGCCACTAGCTTATCAATACTGATGCTTCTATTGCTACCCCTTACCAAGCATTGCTTGTTGAAAAGTAAGAGTGATTCAGGATTCGATCTTATTCAAGAACTAGATTCTATCGTCTGTAACGCTATTTGAAAATTTTTACCAATTATCGTAAGACTTATTCACCTGTAGAACTAATAGGATGCTATATATTTTGACAAATTTTAAAAATAATTTAGATATATTGCCACACAGTTCGTTATGGTGGTGCCAGATGGTTTAATACTTGATGATAGATATAAATTATTTTCTCTGTTTTGGTCGCTGCAAGATGGACAAAAAATCATGAAGGAAGTACAAATTTCTGCTATGACTGATGGATCTTTCAGGAAGGAAGATTGCATATCTATTTTACCTAATATTAGGTAAAATAATTTGCATTCACTTTGTACTTAAAATTAGTAGATTTCGTAAAATTCTGACGGTTATGATCCTAGGTAGCATTTTTGTTCAGACTACTTACTTACTCTTGTGCTTATACTACATAGACAATGGACAATTTCTTATGGTAAAGATCGAGAGGATATTAGTGACAGTAAGATATCGCATTAAGATTTTATAGCATTTATGAATTGTAATTATCATACTTCTTTATTTGCTATTAATCTTTTTATTTTCTGGTCAGGCTATTTATTATGTGACGGCACATTTAGCAATGTGGCGATACTATTAAAGCGTGAAGTGTTATTTAATTTTACGGTACCGTTGGTTCGTCCTTATCCTACTGGTAGATTCCGTAGTTTATTTAAAGTTGGAAATATGAATAGTCTAAAGAGACTGAATTTAGAGCTTCTATAGCGGTTTCACTTCCCTTTTTGAAGGTATTTTTATTCAAGCTGCTGTTAGAAACATGAAAACCGTTATAAACAAGAAAATCTTTTTCACAAAATATAAAGGATTATTTAATGACCCTCACAATAGGTAAATGTTTTGATAGCAACACATATATGTTAATGTATCTACAGTTAATCACTACACTGTTTATTTATCGTTTAAGGCTAAAACATGAGACATTATTTGAGAAGCGAAGGAAAACAATGTATCAGAGGTACTATCAATCTATCAAAATGAAGGATTATGGAAATGGAAATATTAATTTGATTTATCATAGGTTCAAGATTAAGAAAATTGTTGGTATCGACGGCGAGATAGAATGGCTCGGTTGCAACAAGGTAACAATTAAGGATACTTGTTTTAAAACTTCATTTTATCGCGATGAAAAATAATATTAAACGTAGTCAATTAATTATTTAGCAGTATGTCATGTTATTTTGTTCTCAGTTCACCTCCAGGTGTTTTAAAACTGTCATTGATGATACCCCTTCTTATTTATATGACGGTTTATGGACTCCTCCGTGCTGCATAAGTATCGAAATTTTACCAAATAAATTACGTTATCATCATGTACAATATCCATAACTTCAGCAATACTTTAGTAAATATTTGAGCTAAAGCAGATACTGAATGTTATTATAATACATATAAAGGAGCTCTACGGGAGACTGCAATTCATGTTTTTAATATACTAAATCGCTTTAGGATTCGATATTGGTTAGAAGTAAGAAAATAGCATTAAATCTTAGACTTATGGACATAATGAAGTTATAGTTAGGTTGTCTTTTACTAAGAAGTATAATAATTGTGATCGACGGTTTTTAGGGCGGCTCTCTCCTCGGTGCTGTCCGAAATGGGGAAATTATACCCTGGGATTACGATGTCGATATTGGGATACACCAGGATGATATCGCCAAAGTGAGTGAAAAGATACTGCGTAAGAAGTCATTTAATTAGCATGGATTTATCTGCTATAATTCCCATCTGTTGAGCACATATGCCGTATAGGGATGTAATAAGATTTTAATGCCTATATACTGTATGCACTAGTTTGATACTTTGGCCGCGCTTCACACAGGAAGAAAACTTTCTGTAACAGATAAGCAATTTTACGTTTGGGAAAAAGCTACGGAAGGAAAATTCTTTCGTGTTCAATTTAGCCAGCAAAACCATATGCATGTCGGTAAGAGCTCAGTTCACTTCGAAACAAGTAACGTAATATTGATCATTCGGTTAATACTTTCAATTAGATTTATTTCCGTTTTATGAAAAGAACGGATTTATGACTAAGGATACTTGGTTTAAGACACATAAGCAGGATATGAAATTTCCAACTCAATTCATTAAACCATTACAAAAAATTTGTAAATAATTATGATTAGATTGACTTGCACGTATTTTTATAAAATGGACTAAAAACTAACTTGCCGTTATGACGTTTGTTAAAGGGTTTCTTGGAATGATGGTATCTGCGCCGAATAATTATACTAAATTCTTGGAATTGAAGTTTGGTGAAGGCGTTATTGAGCACCCACAATACCCTAACCCTAAAAAACTTGACATAAGATCTTACAATCGTGTATAGCAAAAGTACATGAAATGCCTGGTATTCCATAATAACATATCAATGTAAAATATTAATCAAAATTATAGATGCTGTACCACATCGTATTAAATTAATTAGTACTTGTGTATTTTTCATTAGTACTACAGCTTTCTGTGCAATCGTGATTTTATCCATATACTTCAATATGAAAGTTTGCTTGCCTCCCCTTTAGCGTTTGATTCTATATCATTTATGACGAAGTTGTTGGTACTCACTGTAATTAGTTTTAGCCAGGTTCCGATATTGAACTAAAATAATTGAGTACTAAGTATATCAACGAGCACATCGCGGAATATTTTACTAAAATCTTAAACTGTTACAAAGTTACAATGAAATTTATAAATGCTATGATTAATGTAACCATAAAAATTTAAGATAATACTAAATTAAAATACTATCAAATCGACTCATACTGATCTTAAGGGAACGGCAAAATGTGATACGGGAAGCCATTTAGATTATTATGAGCCTTGTCTGTATTTTATAACGAGTTGCTACGCTGTTGGGTATAGTTATTCGCCGGTCATTTTATGGTACCACTTAAATATGATTTATAAGTTTGTTTAATTAAGCTACGCAAACATTACGGTAGCTATTAATATTCGGTACGATACTTGAAAGGGCTTCTTTAGGAGTTCATTGTTGCAATATTGTAAGGATTCAATGAAAACTTAGACAAAAATTGAAACATGCTAAGCTATAATTGTATCCAACTTTTTCAGGCGAGTATTTTACTTATATATCTGAACCTAATCATTTATACCAAAGACCATAATGATATATGCCAGCTTTATACAGCGCTGTGAAACTACTGTGCACTGGTAAACACCATATATTTATTAAACAATATATCCAGCTACATGATAATATAGAAGATTTCTTATTGATACAGTAACGTTATTAAATTTCCATGTACTACTCACAAGTAGTGTAAAATCGAGATTTTAAGGCCTATGTAACGTAACACGTATATTATACAATACAACTATTGAACATCAACATTGTTATCGTGCCGAAACCTGATCCCTCACTTGGACTTACAATTTGAGGCAGTATACGCATAGTTTCATAAAAGACCTGGCTAATGCAGAATTCTAAGCCAATGCAACCAAATATTGTTATATTTCTTAATAAATATTGCACATGAGTACAATGCAAGTACATAGTATCGAATTATCTAAAATGCTATAGACGTATTTACTAGGAATGATATATATTTATAGCAGCCTGAAGGCGTTACTGTTCAGTCTTAATTCTACAGCATCCTAAAGATCATTAAATATTTATATTCAAAACTGAATCATTTATTATCATACTCAAATATTACATTTTTATGGAACTGTAATAATATCATCGTACGGTCACATAAATAACTTGAATACAATCAATCAAATAGTGCAGCACCATCATTCCTGTATAGATCACGCAAACCAAACATTGAGATGGCTCAGAAATAGATATACGAATCTTGCATTTAAATTTACAAACTTTACCAACTGTATGAAGCATCGATGTTCAAAGTTTGCATGTTAACTTCTTTTAGGGGATAATATCAAAAATAGAAGCGCAGGTAAAGGCAGTATCATAGTCACTTTAACAACTTAGACATCAAGGCTAAAAATTAAGAAAAAATACCGCATTTGTACGGATATATTAGCACGTAAGCTACATAATTTGAATAAGGCTATAGTTACTATAAATCATACATTCATCCTGTAAAATTGTACTGCACTACAGGGCTTGCTAACACCCTACTCTTTAATATTTTATCATAGTTTGCATATTACACACAGTATAAAACTCTCTTACTTGTGAAACTCTAAGTATTATACAATTATTTCAAGCTCACAATTCCTAAGTCAATCTTTAATATATGGTTATTTCCTAATTCTTACTCTGTCAGTTTATCATTTCCTTCAGTACTAAGTTATATGAATTTAGTAGTAGAGTATGGTCGCTAATTTATTTTTTATTTTACATTAAATTTAGCCGCAAGCGTATAGAATAAGAATATGGCCACGATTAGGCAGTATCTTTGATGTACAGTATTACCAAGTAACTTAATTAATGCATTGCAAAATAGGAAAAAAGTTGACATCTATGAAACTTTTAACTATGTTTAATGCAAGTACTGTTCATACTGTATATAATTATGCAATACAGATAATTTAAGTTCTATGACAGCGTATTGCATAAGCTTAAAGCGATATAATGTTACAACAAAAATATCGTCTGACAACTAAATAGCTCTTTCTAGGATTCTAATTCATAGTCAGAAATTTCAGGTCCCTAAATAACATGTAAGTAAACTTTTATTAGAAATATTACCTATCGTGCCGGAGTTTGGTTCATTGTTAATTGTTTACTACATATTACAGTTATAATACTGTACGGCTACTTTTCTGTCACTGTAATAAATATTAACAGTCGAGTCACTTACGTCATTTATTTTCCTATCCAACATTTCAAAGAAGTCCGCTTGGGATCGCGATATTGTGCTGTAAGATCGATATAACAATAACATATTTTATTTATATCCAGTTCTATAATATAAGGTACTATCTAAACTTCCAGTGGCGGATAAAATGCTAATGACGACAAAAAAATTGAAAAGCCAAAAGCATGATCCATTTTTGGTGAAGTACTTAATCAGTTTTTAAATAGAACAATATTGTGTTATTAACTGAAAGTTATATAAAAAAATTGTATTCCATACTATTTCATATACTTTAAATCAGTAACTTACTCTGTATTTTTAGTTGGTAAGCCCATAAACGTTTTCGATTTAACAGGTCTATATGTAATTAATTAATTACAAAATTGTCAACAGGCGATTCCAAATATTCAGGATTTAAAAAGAATTGAAGCAACACGAACGCTACAACTGAAGTGAGTTATGCTGTTAAATATTCCTATCATCACTAACTGGATGCACTCTTCTTTCTAAAAAGATGAGAGATTGAAGTTCTATGTTAGATTTTAATACTGTAAACATTGAATAAATGATAATAGTAATAAAAACAGGGAATGCTGAAGGATTTAATTACATTTTCTTGAACATTTTCTATCAGCTCTTTATAAGAAATTGGTCCGCTAAAAGATTCTTTATTGATCGTAACGGTAGTAATTTTATTAGAATTCTCACTAGCGGCGACTAAATTTTTATTGCCATCGCTTATACTGCTGTCTTCATCTGCATGCTCATCAATATTCTCTGCAATAATAATGAGGCCAAACGTAAAATGTTTATATGATACAGAAAGGCTACCAGTTACCAATCAAAGCCATTGCAAAAATTGATTAACATTTCTTTTAACATATTTAACCTAATATAATAGATAAACTAGCTGTATGGAGGTATACCTAGTGTTGAAGACACTTTAATTTCCTGCCCCTTATCTTTCGTTTGGTCAATAAATATCTGATCTCCGTGATTGCTATAACCACATCCCATTTTATGAGGCACGAGAAAGTATTGAACTAAAATAAGAAGACAGAGAATTGACCTATTTACATGTGAAACAAGCAGTTTAACAAAAACAATCATTTAATTAACGTGACAACCGATGCATTACTTTAGAGTAATAGCGAGACATAGCTTTCAATAATATCGTTGTCTTGTAAGAAAATATGCATTGTAAATAATGAAATTGTAATTTAATTTGATAACTAACGACCGTTCAAAGCAGTATGATATTAAGTTACTATTTAAGTAGAATAATGGGAGAATTCGTGTGATAGTACTTTGCATATTATTGATTCAATCTTATAGCTTAAAGCGACTGTAAATACTTTCTGCAACTCCTGTAATAAGGTTTAGTTTGTACGAAAAGGATACTTGCACTAATGAGAGATCAAGAATAGAATTCTTATATAACGCTAATGACACTAATTTATATAGTAAACGTTTAACATTTTAAATAGCATCAGTACCTCTTATTTTCGTAAATTAAATGCCACTTTAGGAACCCACCTATCTAAGATTGATGCAGTTTTAAAATTAAGATTAGGTTTTATCTGCATACGACGTCTGTAATTTCGCTATCATTTTCTCAAAGGCAATTAAAAGTATTTAACGGTATATCTTCATAGTTGTACGATGATCAAAATAAATAAAACTTAACTTTACGTAGTTATAAGGTAGCATATACTAACCATAACCATTAGTCAACAAGCTTTCGGATGACATTTTAGCAATACATGTTCAATTTAAGAATCGATTATTTGTGTTATGGAACTAAATACAGTAAGAATGATAGTCTGTCACAGTAACTCGAAGGGTTTCCGGTGCCTAGGACTTCTACAGTAACAAACAGAAAAATAATACGATGATGCAGTAACCGAATCTTTCTCACTTGTAGTTGAAGGCTGCAATGAAGAGCAAATACTACGTACATTAGTGTATTTCTTAGTTCGTGAATCGGACAGAAGGAATACTGAGAACTCTAGTACGTATAAAATATCCCAATAGCAGTTAGGAGATAAAGAATTTAAAGTTTTAAATCGAATTTGCCGTAGATAAATAGAATAGCCGTTACCAATCTACGTTAATGATCCATCGAGGAGTGCAATAAGCCAGTTTTGCAACAATCCAGTCTACTGTGTTATGAACTTGCGACTAGATGTGGTAAAATGTACTTTATTGATTGATTAAACAATTTCGTATTAATATAACTGTAAAGTACAGTAATCTTGTTCTATAATTAAATCTTAAAGTTTTACGAATGCAGGAACCTCACACTGGTAGGGAATCTCGTAATTCGCTCACAGCAGTCGTATGATGAATCGAACATTGGGACCATATTACAGTGAGGTACGTAAAATAATAATCAAAAGGTTGCTTAGTAACCTATCAAAGATCATGTAAAGTGTACTGTACAGTACAGTACTGTAAAGCACGGTACAACACACTATTGTACTGTACTGTACAGTACAGTACAGCACTGTCCTGTACAGTACAGTACAGCACTGTCCTGTGTACAGTAGTGTAAACACTGTACAGTACGTATTGTACCGTACTATGCTGTAAAGTACTGTACTGTACTTTGGACCACTGGAAGAATGCTATACTGTACTGTACTGTACTGTACAGTATTAAGACAATCGGTAATAGCACATAGTGAACACGACTACTGTACTGTAGGTTGGCTTTGCGCAGGACGGCGCATCGTTACAGTAGTGGCGTATTGTAAAATGGCTGCAAAGAAATGTCGACCTTCACATTTTTTGCAGCTCTCGGCTATGCCCTGGTTCCTCTCTCCTTTCGAGTAGTCCCTGCTTTAGATCGTAAATTTTATTCGAATTAAATTAACACGAATGATTTACAAAACAGATACGGAAGATCCATACTTAGTAAGTATTTTTCGACATTTTCAGCCTCAACTAGTATGAAAAGTCTGTCCAGTCTAGGCATTGTACAGTACTAGGCCTGGGCAAATAACGCCGTTACTGGTAGAAAGAGTAGGTTGACTTATAATGGTAGGGAATATAAAACGAGAATCTCTCACTCTGCAACGGTTACTTGAGGCTGCATTAAAAGTCACCAAATATTACAGGAGTAATGCTAAATGGTATTACTAGCTATTCTAATTAACAAAAATATCGAATTATCATAATACTCAAAAATTTACATAAAATATTGTGTTAGTCGAGAAACTAACGCTCTGGAGGCCGAAGGATGTGGTATACCGCACCGTATCTTTAATTAGACTGATCTTGTATAGCACTACGCTGAAATATAGTATAGATAGACAGAATCTATCCTGCGTTTGATCACTGCGGGAATACCGATCAGATAGCATATTACTTGTATAATTATCAGAGAGTTTAAAACATCCTGATGAGGACGTACGCTTGTATACTGTATAGCCGATTGCTCTTTCATGTGAATGAGTGGACGGGTATTTACGATCTACGATAAAGAATTCATTTTCTACTAATAATATTTATATCAATCACTGAATGGCAATTAACTTAACTTCTGCGGACTTATCGAACCTCACCATCACATATAGCCTGATAATTGTTATATATATGCATCATACGTGTACATTATATATAACTAACGTATAAAATTTAGACAGCCAAATTTTAATATATGGTATAGATATAAGCGTAGAAATGATATTTAACGTTTAATTTAATTTTATTATTTGTGTAAATTAAGTACTGATGAATCTCTACAAACGGATGTACCGTATATGTATCATTGTTCCTCTCACATCTGAAGGCTTTAATTTTATCATCAAAATTAATTTCATGTGAATATAGTACCTACGGAATACCATCAAATCACCCGATACGAAATGTAGATTTGCATAACTAGCTCAGATAGATGGAGAATAAAGTATGCCAACGATTGTTCGTACTTACATATTCAGTATTAAAAGCTATACATATTGATTTATTTAAGCGTTATTCTGTTAGACAAGTATACGCATGTAAATATATTCTTAAACGGATTAGAGCCAAGCTATCCACAACGAATATACCGTACAACAATATTAATTATTTTCTGCTAGCAATGGTCTGGTAAATCTCAAATACAAGGAAAATGTACAATACAATTGCACATGGTTGGCCACTATACTGTGTAGTGAACAACTTAGTATTAATACCGAAATTTCATTATTATCATACGAATAAGCACTTTTAGTAATAAATAAATCGGTACTAAATGTATTCAAGATACGAATGTGAAATCTAACCTGTGTTAGAATACAAAGGTAAAATTATAAATTAGACTAGTTTTCCTTAGAATTCTAATGGTGTGGAAAATATACTTCGATATGAAATTTATAGCAAAGCTTACTACAAACTTGGCTGTAAATTTAGTGCCTAAATTCTACTCATTTCGTGTAGATTTTTAATATCGCTTTAGTGTTAAATTAACAATTAACTCCATAACTGCAACTAAGAAATTCAGTAATGCTGAGAGTTGCGGACAGAGCTGTATTTTAAAAGTCAATCGTATTCATAATTATTAGCCTGCAGTAAATCAAAAATTAAACTTTTCTCTCACGTCTCATTGTTAGCATTTTAAGTATATTGTAAAAGGCTAATTAAACTTATTCGAAAAAAAATAATAGCAGAGCAGCCCGTGTACGAATTCAATGAGTAATTATGATGACTCTGATGTACCGATATAGAAAACTGTAATCAAGACTGATTAATTATTAAGAAATCAAAATTGCATTGTACTATTTTCTTTTAACTTAAAAGAAATATCTTAGAATATTAAAATTTCGGCAGCTAGATCATAGAAACGTTTACTTTATGTTTCATCACGCAATTTCTTCTTTCAAGCGCGATATCTTGATGGTACTGCTTTTAAAATCGGTTTGCGTGTTGAATGTTAGAAGACTTCTGGTACGATACCGTAAACACGCTGTTCTTGAATTTTTTCTAGCGTAAATAAACCATGCAAAGAATCCACCAAAAGCGATAATGCACACTATCGTCACAGCTATAACAGCACCCAGATCAGAATGTGAAGAATCATTCAAATCCAAAGGAGTCTCTAAAAATAGAATATTAAGTTAATTTTACCTCTATTTCACATGCCTTATGCAAATATAAAGGAAACCAATAATTGAAGCACCTGGAACTTCGCAAATGTAAGAATAAGAATAACTGCATAGCTGAGTAATCCAACGATATTCATTAATTTGATTTACAGGACTTAAAGCAACGCAATTTCTGCCTTTAGATGCGGGTTGTCCAACTTCCCAGAAACTGTAGTTATAACTAACTCCATTAGGCCATTTGAAATTATGTTGATAACGTCTGAGACCTATAATTTATCAAAATTATAAATTACATGATCTTACTGAACTTGAAAGGTGCTGCAACATTATTTCTGTCGATACAGCACTGCTAGATAGAGCAATGATTCGTATACTTGCCAATCCACGCATATGTCCTTATAGGAAGACTTTCTATAGCTTGCATTTCATCGTCATTATGAATGGTAGCTAAGTCTCCATTAAAATTTCGACAGAGCTTTCTCGCTTCTTCCCATGTTACTTTCTGGCTTTCTTGGTAACCGTAGCATCTGCCATTATACCATCTCCATAGATTTCTACAAACTTCTTGGGAAATCACTCCCCGTGCAAATAGACTATCATCTACCGTGACTGTCATCTGATACGCATATTGTGTGTGCTCATTAAGGCCATTAATAATTATATATCCAGATCTAGCACTTGCATTAGATTTACGGGTTTTCCAATTGCTTACTAAGTTGAGTGAACGATACTTGATCTTTATTTTCATAATATCATACTTTACGGATTTACTCAATGACCATGTAACATTAGCGACATTTTTGTAACGAAAAACAGTAATATTTAAGTTACCTAAATTCAATATATAGACAATAATCCTATGAACGGATGCATGGTAAACAACAAAGTAACTACTTACACAAACAATGACGAACTATTAGATTAAGAAATTGGATTCATGTGTCCGCGCTACTCATAATAACCAACCTGGCAAGTACACAGAATGATAAGATATATCAGTTGCCTTTGAACCTGTCGTAGAAAAGTTAATGTCGTTTTGTGTAGTAGAGGCCATGGAAGATTCATCGTCGCTTGAACCAGTTGTTGAAAGCATAGTCTGTTGATCATCTTGAATACGAACACGATCCAAATTAAATTAGCAAGTACAAGAAAAATAACACAATATATAATTATTAAAATAAGTTTCAATCTAGAAATGTACCAACAACCATAATTGTTTGCATAAAGAGAATTAAATACAGATTAGTATAACTGAGATTGCAGGAGCTTACTATAGTGCGATGTAGATGCGGTAGTTAAATCAGAAAAATTGGAAGTAGTAGGAGATGAAATTGTTGTAGATGATTTTTGGCATTCACTAATACTACCAAGGCTTTCATTTTGACAACCTTTAGTTAGCCAAAGTTGGCGATGTCGATCAATTCCATCAGAGCATCTACAATCGTTGTATATAGTATTGTAATAGTTTAGCAATAACGCTTAACACAATACAGTGCACTAATTGAGATTCCATGGCTTAGAGAATTGCATTTAACAGTAAAGTGAACAGCAAAAGACTCACAACAATGCAGCTTTTAATTTCTTTTACGTATTACGTCACTGTAAATCATATCTTTACAGAATAATATCAAGTTACTTTCAACAAAGTTTTTAATACTTGCCTCTGTAGAGCAACGCACCATCTACAATTAAATTTAATAGCTGGATCGAAACAGCTTTGACAGTTTGACGCAGTTAGACATGTCGGCAATGGCGAAAGCAAGATCTGAGAATCACTTTTTAGAAAACGAAGGTCAATTAAAATCCGATGATATTCATATATATTCACAATACCAAGCCCATGGTGCCAAATGTACAATGCGTCTGATATGCCAACTTTTACTGCGTGGCTAGAATTACTGATATTTACTGGTGGCAATGGAATAGTTTTGTATACAAACATAATTTTGCCATCGATATTGATAATACACTGAAATTTGAATCGACCTGATTCAGGTGAATCAAAAAGTGTTACATTATCCCATGTGATAGCTATTGATTTTCCATTATCAAATACTTTCACCGATGAACCTTTTTCAGAGTCCACGTTAAAATTTGCCATCAGCGGTGCTATATATTGCAGCGATGTAATACTTCTATGAAAAATTGATCCAACATATAAGAAACCACCGGTAGCGACCCAAAAACTATCGATGTAGTGGCCATAGTAAGGAAAATGAAAGCTAGTATGAATTAATTGTGCACTGCTATGTTGATCCTTTAGAACTTCATATACTTGTGACTTGTTTTGTGAATCAACTTCCATCCAGTGAGCACTACTGTTAGAAATTTTTGCTGTAGAATAGTAATTATGATAATCTATAATGGTATTATTCCGGGGCAACGAGTCACCGCGTAGGCTTCGTTTTGAATTAGAACTGAATAAGTTTAGCTTTAGAAACCTGATATTTTCATCATCTGAGTTACTATTCTTCGAGTCCTCATACCAGTCAGAACGTTTACCTTCTATAAACTGCGAGGCAATATTTAGGATAGCAGTGACAATCGCTACCCTGGTGATTAATGAGATAATCCTGCACATGTTACTACTCAACGTAACAGAATCTGGTAATGAAGTTGGACTTATACCTGCACTAAATTCCGAGTATTCCGTATTCGTACTGATTCGCAGTCTTTAGAGGGCGGAAAGTTCATTTACCAGGTCAAAGAATGAAAATTTGCATGCGTATTTGAATTTGAATTTCACAACTACGCGAAACAATAATTACGATTTAAAATATGTATATAAATGGATTTAAAAGGATAGTCGACGATTAGTATGGTTTAATTGTATTTACTGTTTAAATCTTTAGCATAAATTACGTCGACATTGCTCAATACGAATCTTACACAATTTTGTACTGCCAACTAATAATTATGAACAGCTTAAAAGATCAAGTAGGCGACAGCAGCTTGATCTTCGAGATTTGATTTACAAAGATCTGACAAATAATTAATTAATGATAGAAAATTAAATGATTGTATAAATACAGAACAGTAAAAAGCCACAGGCTTGAAGAGGTACATATCTCTTAAAGAAACACTCACTGATGATTTTTCCAGACTTTCAATAATTAATATTCCGTGAACATTGAAACTCATAGAGAGTTTACGGTAACCATCTAAAGTGTCTTTCTTGATATCGGCGTAGTAGTATTATTATAATATTATTATTATAATAATTTTCCCTTATTATTATTATTAATAGTAGACCCCTCAATCGTTAAACTTGACGTACATACAGTACAGTATTTAAAATTATTAAAATTTTCAATCTTGCTTTCATGTACTGTACTGTACTGTACAGTACAGTAAATACGCAGTACAGTATGCGATAGGAAAATCGCATACTGTACTGCGTATTTATCTCTCTCTTAATATTTAGCAATCATGATTCATTACTAACTGATTACTGTACCGTACCCCTGTCGATGGTTTGGTTATTCTGTACAGTACACATGTACAAGTACTGTACTGTACTGGGTATTGTCAGGACTTCTAAAACTAATACTGTACTGTACGTTGTCGTCTTATTAGAAGTCCCTGGTATTGTCCTGTACCGTACAGTACAGTATATTTCCTCATTCACAGTACTGTACAGTACCGTATGTTGTACTGTATAATCCAACCCACCCTTCTTTAAAACGAGGAGCGCGGGGGGGTTTTTTATAATACTGTTAGATGACTCTGATTATGGGTTCATTTCAATAAGTCAGTATAAGATTCTTACAGTACTTTTTACCTTAAGATTTCTTCATGTAAAACGAATAGCTCTAAGGCAGAAATTTCTGCAGAGTACTGATTTTTGAAATAGTATTCGTTATATCGCTAAGGGTGGCCACTGAGCCTTTAAATTTTGATTTCATGTAATACTCTGATGAAAATTGAATAAACATAGAATTTTTATAGAGTTTTCTACACAGCCATTTTCATTGTTACGTTTTCTTATAACGGTTGTTATCGACAGAGCAAGCTTTGTTTGCATACTCAAGCGATCCTTAGACACATTATAATGATTGGTATAGAATTGACCACAGTACTAAGGACATTGTACCGCACTGTACTGTAGATATCTTACAGTACCTGCTAATCTTAACTTGGTACAGTATGTCCATCACCGTACATTAGTTATCATAATGCGCTTTGGATTATTAACTAATCTTAATATAGCATAGTACATTACTATTGCCGGGATATATATAATATCGAATGATAATACTATCTGTTAATTTTTTTATTAACAAATTGAGCATAAACGTATATTTGACAGTTTCGCTTACCAACCTTAACATAGCATTAATACTGTATATAGTAACCATCCTTATTCGGTAAACATACTAATACGAAAGTTACTTAAGGAAATTTGAATTGGTATAGAAATGAATGATCTCTAGGGTTTATGTAAATATTATTGAGAAGGTACTGTATAAGTGATTGATACACATTAGTAGGTACTATTAGTTCTATTGCTCTCATGCATTTCGAAGTGTTACCCTACTGTAGTTCCCCTGTACCGGGTTATTTTTGATTGCTATATATCATATAACAAAAAGTGTTTCTAAGAGGATAATGTCAGTTAGTCAGCGATCTGATAGGCGAAAGCGAAGTGCGCAACGTGGAAATGCACGATCAGTACGTACATTAAATCTATCTGTTTTAAATATAGTAGTGCCCGGCTATTACCGGGATATATATAATGTCGAATGGTAATACTATCTGTTAATTATTAATAAATGGGTACATTATCGTAAACCGTCAGCAAAGTGATGGGAGTTTGGACTAGTATATAATTAATTTATTTAGTAGTCCATTACTGTGTGTACAGTACAGTACTGTACTTGAAAGAAAAATAATCTTTTATTAAGATTAATTAATTAATTAAATTAAATTAAAACTCTTTGCACGTAGTCGTACAGTACTGTGCACTGTGCAGTACACTGCCGTAGCAATAGTCGTGTACTGTACTGTACATACTATATACAGTAATATGCAAAACCATTGACTGCGAATTAAAATCGGTATTGACTAATAGAACAGACACGGGAATAGAGTTATTACAGTAAACTTGTGGCAAAATATCTCTTTAAAATTTTTTGCTGCCAAAATACACTTTTTCCGTATCACTAGTTAGCCTCCTACATACAAATTGGACTCACAAAACCCAAAAGTCAAACTAGTCACATAGACATAGATTTTTCATTACTGTTATGGTTGTGAAAACAGCATTCGAGGTATGTCCGAAGGACATCAAGGAATTAATAACATGCATCCTGTAAGTTCACACAGTCATAGGTAACATCCTATTACAGTAAATTCTCTACGGGTTTCAAATATAAATTTAGATCTAGGGAATAAGACAATTAATTATAGGGCTTAAGTTTTGTGTAACTCCGCACAGACGAAGGTAAAAAAGTTGCGAATTATGAAAGGTTCGCTGGAGTTCTGCACTAACTGTAGAGATCAGAGAGTTAGAGACAAAATTTTATGGAGTTGCATCGTAAACTTAGTAAACAGTTAGGGACCGCTGAAATAAAACAGTACATTCAGTTTTTGATTTATATGAGTTATTAGAGAAAGGAAGCGAAGTTGATCAATGGCCAAATCGTTGCTAAACGTTACGATTACATGACCTTATTAATATTTAGGCCAGACTTTGTCGAATTTGGGTTAGGCCCTACATTAAAAATATCTCGGATCATTTTACAAATGAAGTTTGAACTTATTATTCAATTCGATTTCTTTTTTTGGACGCGTATATATAAAAGATATAAAGGCAATAAATTCATATGGGTTAATTAATGATTTGGGCATTAGCGAATTTTAGGGCTTGCCTGAAGCTCATACGTACGGCAATTTATACGATACCTATGTCTGTTAATGTAATGGCCTAGCTTGATCCATCCCTTATATTGCTAATCTTATCATCATCGTTCAATATCGTAGTTACTTAGTGAGATTACCAGCCATAAAGGTTGCCATCTAGAAACTGATCACTGACACTATCAACTAAAGGAAAAAAAGGAATCACAAAAATACAAAATTTTGCAAAAATTGTAGCATGGCCCTTAGTGCCTTTCTTGTGCTTGCTTGAGCACGATTTAGTGTGCCTGTGCCGGCAAAACAATATTAAAATTTGGGAATGCCTTCAAAGTTCAAACCAAATAGTATGCAATGTAATATTAACATATAGTTTATAAATTACTAAGCAACAAAGGAAATGAAAAACAATTTTTAATTTTTCGATGATCATAATACAGTATATACAGTAGCTCATCAAGAGATTTTTTGATTAAATCAATTGGTGAGTGTTACAGTTAATCCCTACTGTAAACTGTACAGTGTACAGTACAGTATTGCGGAGCATATATGAGTACTGTACTGTACAATGTACAGTCTCTCACGTAAAATGTTGTCTTCAATGACTGTAATAAACTACTTCACGTATAAAACTTGTAGGATGGCACTCAAATACATTATTTTAGGTATAAATTTTCATTACTTGTCCAGAATTCATCAAAATTGAAATTTCTACTTATTAGGCTCTCACTATGTTTAGGTAGAAATGATACAGCTATCGTGATTTTGCGGACTTCAAATAAGTGTATTATTGTACCAGCAAGGACTTTAACCTAATCTGGTACGTTTACATCTACCGAAAATTTACAGATACAACCGCTTCTTACAAATCTTTTTATTGCATACTTAAAAAATTATAACTATTCTAATAGCAAATACCGGTTCGCATATACTAGTGCATACTGTCCACTAGCCAAAATACAATAGGTATGACGGATAGGTTCACACAATGGGTTACAAATAAGTTCTACAACACTTAGAAAATCAGCGTAATACCTATGAATACGTTATACTGTAGTGGGTATTCGTCTAACTTAGCTAAGTACGGTGCCCGAACTTATTATGAGTTGGAGAGAGCCTCTACCACGGAATTAAAATACAAAAAGAATAGTTTCTGCGTTTCTTAAGAATATATTGTACTAATATTAGGACGAAATCGACTGTGAAATATTGTTTCATACGCAGCATAAGTAACAATCGTGCTAATTTTCTTGTGTAGTAAACTTGTACTGCACTATGTTTAGGGAGTAAGATCGTCGTTAAATATCAAATGGTTTCCCTGAAGTGGAGTTTGAAAGATTCTTTTTGAATAAAATAGCAATTATTTTCAAATGATTAAAGTTTAGTGACGCAGATAGCGCAGGATGTTGCAACGTCTAGAGTTTTTTATTTGCATTAAAAAATCAATAATATATTCGTAAAAAATCATAACAATAGAGCGATTTCTATTTCGAATAGATTTCTATTCAAAATTAATCATAGTACATTGTTCAT